CAGGTGGTGTTGAAATAGATTTTTACCCTTTATATGAAAGACTGTATCTAGAAAAAACACATGAACTTATAGGAAAATTGTTAATTACTGTGTGTAATATATATTCCAAAGGGAGACAGATAATTTGACTCCTTGAAAAGCCAATCTTCCAAAGACGGTTCCTAAAAATACAAAGACTACTGAGATACAGCTTTGTTCACCTCCTTCTCTTCTGAGGTATCCCACTTCCATCAGGAAGGAAATGTCCTGTGAAGCTCACTAGATCTCTAATCTCTGTGCTACCAAACTTTCCCTCCTCACTGCTGGAAGTAAAGCTTAGTTGTGTGGGACCTATCCAAGAGCACCTGCAGGTCCCTCCAGTGTCTGTGCCAACAGCACAGCACTAATTCAGCCCTGGCATTTATGAGCTGTTTAATGCACACACACACACAGACACACACAGAGCAGTGTGCATGTCCACTGGGGATCAAAGGGAAAACAAAACTACACGTAGTCCGGAGCTTCCAAGGACAGGATAGAGAAGGAGAAGGAGGAGAATAGAACCAAGCAAGCTCTGGTTCCTGTTAGTCACTTGTAAAGAACAGCGGCAGAATTGGATAACTGGAGGAGGACCGCTCATGTTTTGACAGCTGAACTCACTGTACCTATCTGTCACCCTCTCTCTGTTGCTGTAAATCCTTCTCTGGTGTGGCAGCTTTACCCAGAATTTAACACAGCTTGCCTCTGTGCCTGATGGGCCCAGAGCTGACATTCTAGGGAGGAAAGGCATATGTTGAAAATAACTGACTTTGAACGCGTGTGTGGCCACAGTTCTCTGGTTTGATGGCTCATTATTTTGCTGCTACATAAATAGATTTTGGCAAGCTGTAACAAATGCTGCACTTTGCCCTTTGCCCCTGTAAAGTGTCTGTGTGTGACAGGGGACATACCATGCATGCCCACATCCACATACACTGCAGTCATGGTGCCTTTTGCTATGTAGATCTTTACTCATGTTTGTTTAATTTATCTTATGAACTCCTTTAATAGCGACAGCAGCTACTTTCCTCCTCTTTTCCTGGGTGCCTGGAAACCCCAAGAAATGTAGAGTTGAGCTGAGCTGCAACTGAAGTGAGAAGGAGCTTTAGGACCCCAGCTTGGGTAGCTACAGAAACCAGGGTGGAATAAGAAAGGATAAGAAAGAAGTATCAAAGGATTGCAGACCTGTGCACTGTGCATCAGGGGAAATAGATTTGTTTGTGCCATTAAACGTTCTGTACAAGGGAGGTTTCTGTAAAAATTAATGTCTTCTGGCAGCATTGTGGTTCAGGACCTAGCACTGAAATGCAGAGAGTTGGAGGCCTGAGAAAGGGGGTCACTGAGAGTTCCCTCTCCTGCTTCAAAAGCAGGACAGTCAATCGCTTCTATTCAGTACAGGATATCTTTGAAGGTGCCTATAAAAAAAGAATCACCCAGTGCAGGAATCTCCAGACTTTCTGAGTTCACAGGCTGGATTTTCTCATTTCCATGTACTGTTAGAGTGAGCAGACAGGGACATCCCAACAGTGTGATGTCATGAAACTACTTTGTCTGCCACGGAGCAATTGGCTGTGAAATGTCCTCGTGTGAGGGCCAGAGCCTCCTACACCCAAAGCATACATGAACACTGCGGAGTGAGGCAACCACAAAGAACTGGCTGTGGAGCATGGTTCAGGCTGCCAACTCGTGGTGCAAATCAGAGCTAGAGAGATCCTCAGCCAGCTAATGCTGCTGGCATAATGTCAGCACCCTCCTGTCAGCATAAAAAGAGTTTATCTTGTCTACATGTCCCAGTCCTGACATGCACTCAAACTGCCTCCTGCCTCTCTCTGGGTAGGGTTAGCATCAGAGACCCTTCAGAGAGTGCACTGCCAGACATTCACAGCCTTTTGGTAATGATTCTTTGGATAGTATTGAATCTTCTTCCTTAGAGACTCAGCCAGAGAATGAAATCACCACTGCATGTTAGTCCTTCTGAGAAAGGGCCAACATTGCAGATATCTCAACTATGAGCCAAAGCTGGCTCTACCTTTCCACTGCAGCCAGAAATGTGTGCTCAAGATGTAGATAAAGGTCAAGATGCCAAGCCATCATGATAGAACTTCCCTAGAGAGTTGATAAACATAGTACTGAGCCTATGAAAGAATTATTTGGCCAGGAACCTTAGCATGCAATGCCAAAGTTACTCAGCTTTATAGCACTCTAGTATCAAGACAACAGATGTGTGCATATGAGAGTAGTGTGACTAATGCTGACAGGTGTCCAGATGTGTGTTTACAATTCAGCTCCACAAGCTCCTGACAAAAGTAACAATTCCCTTACTCTTTCATTTACACCCCCTATTTTTCCATTTGCATTTTGTTTGGTTTGGTTTTTGGTTTAGTTTGGTTTTATTCTGTTTCAGAAGATTAGAGAACCTGTCCCCTCTTCAAAGAAAACATTGGAAATTGCTCACTGTGCTCTTGAAGGCTCTGCCCATCTTCCCAAATTTCCTTGTGGGTTCAGGATTTATGTAACCATTAGGAAGAACCAAATCATGATTGTCTGCCAGGAGCAAACAGTGTTCTCTTGTATTTACTATTTATAACACCTGCAAAGTATCCTGACTTCTAGGATATGTGTCCTTGGCAAATCTGCTGTAAATCATCCTCGGTGCCCCAGAGCACCTTCTTCTCATGAGTGAGCAAGATAATGCAGTGCCCTCTTACTTTGTGGGACCGGCTGTGTGGGGCTCTGGGCTGAAAGAACCTTGCATACTCCTTCAACACCAACTACAGCTGCTGCCCTGTCGAGCAAAAGGTATATTAGGGTGTCTTGTGGCTTTCCTTGCTTGGAAGGGAAAATGGGGGTTTGAGTTTTCAGAAAAAGTGAGAATACCATAGGCTTGGTTCTTTGCCAAACCTGCTTATGAAGTGCCAGTGGCAGTGGTCCCATGAGGATATCTTGAAAAGTTTTTGTGGCCTCTTTGAGATCCTATCTTGTTCCTGTAGGCAGATTTTCTGGGAAGTGATTCTGCAGTCTCCCATGTACGTACACGTGGCATACACAGACATGGTGGTGCAAACTTGCTGCCAGAGCACAGCTTCTCCTGTCCCCAACAGGCTCCTATACCGACATGCAGCTTCCAGCAAGGACAAGGATGTCAGTTCCTAACCATGTTAAAATAGTAATCTCTTCCCCCTCCCACCTTTCTGAAGGAGGTACAGGAGGTATTTTTAAAAGTAGCACTTGTTAGCGGTTTTCAAGGATATCAGTTCAACTGCTTGGTTTGCTCTGCTGCTTTGTTTGCGTGGACTGCTTTTTTTAGAACAAGATTATGTCAAAACTAGAAGCAAAATATCAACTGTAGAGGCAAGCTGGGTCATACACAGTTGCACTACAAAGAACAGGAATGCGTTCAGCTCCTATATCTGTTACCTCTAGAGGTTCTTCTCTCTACACTGGCTTTCTTTTGATGGTTTATATTTGAAGTGTCCAGTGCTACATCTTCTAGTGTTTTCTATTGATTTTGCTCTATTATTCTAGTCCTTTATTCTTCTGTAGGTCTTTTCCTTCTGTTGTGTTCCTCACTGATCTGAATGAGTTTCATGGGTTAAGGCATCCCTGGACTGCAGGGCAAAGTGGGTTATTTATGTGCATTGAATATCTGCAAAATGAAAATTCATGTGCTCAGAATAATCTTTTGGATGAAGCACAGTAGCCCCAGATTTCTCAGAAACACAAATGTCATGGCAGCTTGCAAGTTTCAGATTTAAAGCTGGATTTGTCCTTTCCCAAAATGTAGCAATGTTCAGATCTGTGATTATATTGGCAGTATAAAAAGCAAGCAAGAAAATTAGATTGATTTTGAAGTTCTTAAATAGTAGGAATGAAAAATATAGAAGTCTGTCCCTCCGTCTGCCATCATTGCTTTTCATTACCCTATTTTTGAATGAGAGAGACTGACTTGCAGCCTAAAATATGAAATGAAGTGCAGATTTGAGAATGAGATAAGGAACTTATCATTCTCACAAGCATCTCTTCTGTCTATGCTTCTGGTTGGCTTACAGATTTAGTTTGGCTCTACCTCAGTCCCAAGGGGTGGAGCCTCACACAACTTTGAATGCTGGCACTGTACATGTTTACATATAGCCTATCCGTCTAGTTGCTTTTAGAGTTGGCAGAGTAAAATAAGCTCCTCTGGGGTGTGATTTGTGAGGAAGACTCTCACGTGAGGTACTTTGAAGGCGTGTCATACTTTGGGACCCATTTCTGGCAGAGAGAGTTTGGTGATTCAGCCCCAGTGTGGTGGTTTATATTCTGGGCATCCAGAATTGGTTCCCATCACATCCCTGAGGAGTGGATGCTCAGGGGGAACCAAGCACTGCATGTGGACTCTTTTGTGTTTCTTCCATCTGTGTGGACTTCATGAAAGACTGTTTGGCCTCTGCTTGGCAGTGCAGTAGTGAAGAACAGGGTTCTGCTGCACTAACGAGCCCCAAAATTGATGCCTGGGCCCCAGAGGGCACTTGTGTGCTAGCAACAAGGGTGGTGGTGCATCTGAACTACGGGAGCGGCTCTTACCTGAACTCCTAAACTTACCAACAGTCTAGCTGGTGTTGTTGACACCAAGGCAAGGAGCAAGCTGGAGTGCAGCTCACTGCACTAGGATAAACAATGGTGAATAAGAAAAGACTGGACAGCCCCTTCTCATGCTGGCGAGGCTATCTATGCTCCTGGCAGTGCCCAAGCCAGTGAGACTGGAGCCTGCTGGAGTGAGGTGGGTTGGGGTATGGGGACAGGCTGCCTGTGGGGAGCTGTTGCAGGTATTTGTGTGGCTGTGATGTCAAGTTACCAGGCCCTGTGAGGGGCAATGAGAGAGTATGTTATTTTTGCCCACTAAAACCTGCCACCTCCATTGAAAATAAAAGAAAAGGACAGAGGACTGATATAAAATTTAAAAACTGTCAAAACAAGGTGAACCTCTTCACTTTTCTCTCCAGGTCGCTACCCACAGCAAAACAAAGGCACCTACATCCCAATCCTAGTAGGCAATGTGCTAAAACCTGGCCAGTGGGGAGCCAAGATTATCCACAGGGAAAACAACTCCATTCGGCTGTCCATCATGTCCTCTACCACCTGCATCATTGGGAAGTTTCGCTTCTATGTTGCTGTCATGACTCCCTTCGGCATCCTTCGGACACGCAGGAATTCAGCGACTGACACTTACATCTTGTTCAATCCCTGGTGCCAGCGTAAGTACCTGGTCAAAGGCTTACACTTTGTGCTGCTGGGCTCATCAGGTTTTAGGTGGGTTGGTCCAGGAATGGGAGCATGGTGCCAAGGAGGTTGGAGACATGTTTTCCAGACCAGTTTGAGTGTGGAAAATTTACAGTAACTCTGCCAAAAGTAAAGTCTTTCAGGCTGGGGAATAGCCCTGTGTGATCAGGGTTCCATTCTGGAAAACAATACCTTTGTTTTGTCTAAATTCTGCAGTTTTATGAGGCCAAGCCTGTATTTGCCAGTTCAGGCTCCATTTTTCATAGTAAACATACCCCAAGACTCTACTCTGACTTGAACAGGCAGCACTGAGAGTGTCCAGTGTGCCTGTGTGTGCCTTAAACAAGTCAGCATGAGCATATTTTTTCCAGGATTTGGTGTGGGGCAGGATGTGGTGGCCTCACATACTCAGTTGTCTTACATTGCTAATTGCCACATTTGGGATTGAACATCTGAAGTCAAAATATTGCAGGAATTCTATGGGAGCTGCTGTTCCTGCACAGGTTGGGTGGAATTCAGCTTGCTGTGCCATCACTGGTGGTGCCTTCCTGCTGCTACATGACATTTGCCCTTATAACTTCCCCTTTAATGGTGACTAATTAGCAACAGTGCCCTCTCTGATGAACAAAACATTTTGCAAACGAGCCTTTTTTTTATAGTACAGTGAGTTGAAGAACAATTATTTTTCTTTTTTTTTTTATTTTCCTTTAAAATCTCCTAGGATCCTTGGAAGAAATCAGGCCTTATGCTGTCAGGGTTGTATTTTACCCAATGAACTCTGTGTGTGGCTTTTAGGAGAGGGCAAGGAGGACCAGAGAGGTTTGATTCTGCCTTCTGACAGGCTGTAACACTGTCTCTGCTTCCAACACTTGCAAGGCTCCAAATCACATGTATTGCAGTATATTTAGGTCACCAGCTAACTTCAATATTCTCCTGCTACCCTTCCTTCATCTTTCCATTTTTTACCACAGTATTTGCATCAAATAATCTTGTGCTAAAGGGCCCTCCTACCAAGTGACAAGTAAGCTTAGCATTATTAGTAGAGCCCATTATTCAGCTGCACTGCTGTCAGTACATGGAATGATTTGTGCTGGAGTCATTACTTGCCCCTGGTCTGAGAGAATATAAGCAATGATTAGCTTATGCATTATTTAGGAAGATATAGATTAATGCTGAATAAAGCGGAGTTAGTTAAGTGGGAATAGGAGGGAAGGGCATGGCCAAAGGCCCTGCCACAGTGAGATACTTTGAAAGCAGTGTAAGGTACCTTAGAGCAGTGTGGTAACAGCTTACTCTGGAGGGTGGGCAACAGAAAGAGAGGAAACACTGCCAAAACTATGATCCACTGTGAGCAGACAAAACTTCCCAAGGTTTGTTTTGGCATCTTTAGACTCACAGCTTCAGCCAGGGAAAGCAGAAAGCTCTACCTAAAGGTAGAGCACTACTTGGTTTTTGTCCTGGATGTTGTAACAGCCAGCACAGTGACCCTGCAGTGGCTCAGCACATCTTTGGGAAGGGATAAACCCCAGGGAAAAGCTTCTTAAATTGCCTCAGTTTGTCTCATGATTAGCAGACAACCAGCCAGGGCTGCATGCAGTCCTAATGTGGAGACAAGATGTGATGTGGGGGGGTTGCCTACCCCCACTGTGGTGTGATTGGTACTACACAGGCTGATGTGAGGTGTTAGTCAGAGGGAAAAGGGAAAATCAATACCTACTTCACACCTCCTTGCCCAGCAACTCTACCAGCAGACTGATCCACCATTATTCATGGTATATGGACACTTTGCTCTCCTCCCTCACATCTGACCTGAATGAGTCCAAAAGCCAGCAAGATTAAAACCACAACTTGGCAGTAAACCCACAGGGTGCAAGACAGGCAGCAGTTGCCTCCAGTGGCAGGCATCAGCAAGGCTGATGGAAAAAGTCTGCCTTTGGAAAGCAAAAAAGACTTTCTGGGCAACAAAGATATGTTGTGTGACCCCAGATCCGGGACAGGCAACTTGGGGACCACATCTTCCTCTGCAACTTACATTTTCAAGTGTGTCTCAATGGCTTCAGGTCCTGTCCCTTGTTGACTACTTTAGTTTTCACTTCCTGCTTGTTTCATTTGGATTTGGATATATCCTCATTTCTTGTTCCTCTTTTACTCCTAAGTAGTTTGGGCTAATTGGCTCCTGTATCTGTCTTTCCCTCCTCTTCTTTTGTTAGAAAATCAAGGACTATTTCTTCATGCTTTATCCCCTGGCTGGAAAAGATTTTTCAGTGGAATGACAAAAGGGTAGAAAAACTGAGGTGGTTAAAGTGCAGAGAAAACAATAGTTTGAAAACCTTCTACACTTGTTTGCTGGTTTAATAGCTAAGCAGAAGAGTCTGAGTGAAAAGCCTCATTAAAAAGAGAGAAGTCTGATGCCAGGAATGAATGGGGATTGTTATAGGAGGGAGCAGAGTATCAGCGCTAGAGCCTGGTGCAGCTTTCCGACTCATCATCTTGGAGGAGCATCAATATGTCAGTATGAGCTTTTCTTTAAGACAGAGGCATTTGTGCCCTTTCTTATTACTCCTTTTCTCACTATAGTTCAGTTTTGACATATTTTCCCAGGAAGGGTTGTTTTTTTTTTTTTTTTCCCTGCTGCTTCAGAAGAAGTTTGAATACCAGTCAAGCTACAGAGTACTTTGCTTCCAGAATCATCATATGCTTCTATACGTTTTAGTCCCTTTAGCTACAGTTAAGACTGAGAACCAAAAACATTTTAAAGATACAGGGCCTGATTCTCCAAAATTATATACACCAGCCCCAAACATCTGGGAATTCACTTAACTAGTGGATTGAGATTTCAGTTACTCAGGTGTATTTTCATTACTTAATAAGCAAGGTAAAGTCTGTGAGGAGAGGCAGCATCCTTTCTACAGACAGATGACATAGTTGGATAAAACAGATGTGCTTTTGGGCATGCAGAGCCCTCTTCAGTTCTGGAACAGAAGATACAAATGGCAAGTTGTTAAGGATAACTTCTTGGAATTTAACTAAACTCTTGGCAATATCAGACTACATGAAAGCGGAGAAGAACTCCTTTGATCTGGATACTGTGAGCTCTTTCCAAGGAGCTGTGAGCTCTTTCCAAGCAGGTGCTGAGTCCCTGCAACTTTCTGCTAAGGAACATTAAGTGATTATCAGGAAAAGTCCTTGTGCTGACTTCTGTGACTCTCTCACAGGTGGAGGTGCACAGTGTAGCTGAGTAACTTGTGGGCTGAGGTGTGCATTTTGCTCACCCAAGCCTCATGCAGAGTGGATTACACTTAAGCAATTTAACATATTGCAACTTTTTTGAGTCAGCTGCATATTTCTTCTGCTTAAATGTTCTAATACAGTTTGAGGATTAGTAACATGTGGTTGACTCTGGACTCATCTCACATGTTACCAGTGATCCAAATGTGGCCCAATAATGTTTTCTTACTTTTTTAGGTAAATCTTAAATTTGATTGCTTGTGTCATAGATTCCACATGGGCAAAATTCACATACAGCTTCATCCTTATACTACATTAATATAGGCAAGTACTAGTACTATTCGAAGCAGCATATTGATCTTGATCCTGGGTAGAGTGTTTTTTGTAGATAACTGCATTTACCTCTTGCAGCTTGGGGCTTTTCACAGCATTGTCCTCTTCCCAACATGAGCCCTGCAGGCTTTGTGGTTCCAGTGAAGCCCAGCCTTACTGGGTTCCTGTGGGAGCATGTTGAAGGGAGGCTGGGAGCTCAGGGCAAGCCTGCTGGTTCCACCTGTCTGCTGGTGCTGCCGTGCTCAGCTGTCACTGTCTGCACAAAAAAAATGGCTTTTCCAGTGCCACAGGGTTGCTGTGCTGGGGTTGGGGTCCCTCCATGCTGGGTAGAGCTCTCTTATGTTCATTCACTTTCCCAAACAGAAAGGGTTACCCTGCACTCCTCATGTCTTTAGCAAGGGATTCCTCACCAGCAGTGCTGTCTTCCCGTGAAGTGTATTTTCACCTTCCCCAACTTCAAGCAGAGTAGCATAGAAGCTAATTTGCTTCTTTGTAGCGTTGCTGGTGTTTTAGTAAATTCCCAGGATAAAAGAAGTGAAGTAAAAAAAACCTCTGAACTGCTAAAGAAAAAGAACAAACAAAGCAGCACAGTTCTGTGGAATTCTTCTGTTTGTCAGATGTGAGCCTCCACTTGCACAAAATAATAAGGAGTTGCATTATGTAGAGCATGCTTAGCATCAAAGTAGACACAAATGCCTCATATTTTCTTCTAAACAGTCTCAAGGGCAGTGAAAGCTGTCAAAAATCAAAGCAGCTGACTTCCCTATAAAACACAAAATACCTTTTTACCTTATCAAAACCACAAATATTTAAAATAATCAACAGAGAAGTTAATCAATTTTCATCTGATTCAGCAAAGATCATGCAGTCTCAAAATAACATAAGCATCTCAATTGATACCAACAAGATCAATGTTGATATTTTTAATCCCCAAAAGAAAACAACAGCTGTCAAGAAGGCATATGCACACACTTCACTGAATGTGTAACTGCATAGAAGAAGGTGTGAATTCTCCTTCTTTAAATGAACTCTATGTACTATTTGTATGGACAGACTTTAATAAAATCCAGAGCTCAGTGAGAGAATGCAGATAATCGTTTCAATGAGCAAATCAGGCAAATCCAGCCTAATGGAACAGAGCCTATGAGATCTGTAACACCTGCCATATTTTTAGTGGGCTGTTATACAGAACTTGTTGGACCACAAAAAAGTCATGTAATACACAGTTTCATATGATTGAGAGTGCCTGCTTGCAGAAATGGCTGCAGCCTTTTCATTCACTGTCAAGTCTGAACACTCCCTTCCACCTCATAGCCTCTAAACACAGTAAGTCCATGATCATCCACTTTGTATCTGGGTGCAGGTTGAGGTTTATTAGGTCATAGGTAGTGAAAAGCTTACAAACTTCTTCATGGTCCACCTTTAGAAATAAGGTGAATACCACCCCTGCCAAATAACAAGAGTGGGTCTCAGACCTGTCTACTTTAGGTAAAACTCTATGAAACCTGCTGTTCCTCTGCTTGCTCCAAGTTGTACCTAGTCATCAGGGCCTGTACAGCAATGGCCATAAAGCACAACAGCAAGCACTGATCTCCTCAAATGCAATACAGGATCCTTGTATTTAACCCCTGATTCTCTATCATCCTTTGCACACCAATGTGGAGATCATTATGTTACATATCTAGGTATAATCAGTTATGTGTATATATAGACATAGAAATAGAAAAATATCTTGAGGGAAAACAAAACTCTCAGAAGGGTCAGTTGTGTATATTGGCAAAGCCCTTCACCTACTGAGGCTGATGTGAGTTTTTTTTGGGTTGTTTTTTTTTTTTTTGTGAGCTCAGGTTTTCGCTTATTTTTGGCCAAATTGCAGTTTAATGGAGAAATGAAGAAGCTCTTGAGGATGAGGTTTACAAGATAGTGCAAATCTGATTTGCATTTCAACAAAACACAACAAATCAAAAGGCTTTTAAAAGTTAAATGATCCTCTAGTAATTTGTAGTTCAGTGCTGAAGAAATCTACTATGGCAGTAGTGAGTGTAGTTTTGTACTTGCTCACATCAAACTGTTTGAAATTCCCTTTAATTTGCTATCTGGAACCACAGTATGGATTTCCTCAAATTAATTAATTTCCATGCTCTTAATTGTTAACGTGTATCTTTTAGTCTCAAAATACAAGCACTGGCACAGGAAATAAATCTTCAACTATTCTAGCATCACAGCCTGCTTCATACTTACCTGTGAACATCTGAATGGTTTAATGTAATTCAGGGTACCTTATGAATGTTAATAATGAGTTATTTACATATATAAATCATGTTTGCAAGTCAAGCATCCATGCATATGCTCTTGATTTTTTATATAAGTCCAGTCTAGAATCTACCCTTTGTATATGTTTTGATAAAGACCTCATCCAATTACTTCCTGTTCTCACTTGGACACTTGAATTTCTCCTCATATTACCTGGTCAGTCAAGCTATGTAGGGAAGGGATATTCCAGTCAATAATTAATGCACAGAAACGGCAATCAAAATTTTCTCTTAATAATTATAAAAACTGTACTCCATTTTTTTTAATGCACTACATATTTTTCTGTAGATCTCTTGACCTAAGCTGTTTTCCATTAACATTAATAGGTTTTTAATTGTTCTTTCATCTTTTTGTACAGATGCAGATTTGCATCATGGTGCTCCAACTTTTAAATTAGTTTCACACACTAATCATAAAATTCTTGTGCAGATGTGATATTTTAATCCTACTTTACAGATCCTGAGAAAACTGGCAGGAGTTGCCAGCACTTTTCCATCTTACATGATTTTAGGTTGTGTATCTTAACTAGGATGACTACCTCCTTATTCCTGTACTCTGTTGAAGCAAGTAATGCTTTGTTTGATGCAAAAGGGGTACTTTTCATCAAAGATGAATGTATTATATGCTAAGATGTTTTATCTGTCCTATGTGAAAATTAAGCACTTATACTAATATTTATTTTTGGTAAACTAATGTAGTGGATGCTGTGTACCTTGATGACGAGAAAGAAAGGGAAGAATATGTCCTGAATGATGTTGGTATTGTATTCCATGGAAACGTCGAAGATGTAAAATCAAGAAGCTGGAGTTACGGGCAGGTGAGCTGTTTAGATCTTCTCTGGATGCTCCCAGTAGGACTGCAAATGAGTTTAATTGACACCAGACTGTGGTTGAGACTGTGGGCTCTGGAATGCATTATTGGTTTCTCCCTCAGAAAGATAAGGGGTATCATTTTAAAATTGTATGAAGTGGCTATATGCCTAATCCAGAAAAGCAATACTATAATAGCTGATATTTAAAGACCTTATTTCAGGGGCATATTTCAGATACTAAGAGGCTGCCTGTTGGAAGTTATAATCATTAGCTGAGGTTTCCACAGGGCAGAGGTATTTCTGCTGCTGCATTATTGCTGCTTCAGGATCAAATCAATTTATGAAAAGTAGAGTTGTTTGGGTTTTTTCTCATTTTTTGACAACAGGTTGTATTGCTTTTTGACTTTTCTTTTTAGCTTTAGCAACTTGGTGGAAATAATTCTGTTCTTCTTGGGAGTCAGATAGTCACAAGTTTCCTATGAAAAACTAGTATTTAATTCCAAAATTTTAAATTCTGGGAGAATCTCTCCCTTTTCTGCCTGGACTTGATAACATCAGTCTCCAGTGTTCTCTTGCAGTCTGGGGGAGACAACCTCCACTAAACTGGAGTGGGGTATTGGTGTACCTTCAATAACATAGAATCATAGAATTTGGGTTGGAAGGGATTTTTAAAGATCATCTGTTTCCACCATCCCAAGATGGACATGAACACCTTCCATTAGACCAGGTGCTCAGATTCTTGTTCAGCCTGTCCTGGAACACTTCCAGGGATGGACCATCCACAGCTTCTCTGGGCAACTTGTTCCAACAGTTTACCACCATCACTGTAAAAAACTACTCCTTTCTATGTAATCTAAACCAACCCTGTTTTAGTTTAAAACCACTACCCCTTGTCTCAGACTTTTTGCTTACCTATTTTATCTCAACCTTCTTGTAAGAACTACCCAGCCTAAAAAACCCTATAGGATGGAAGAATTTATTTATTGTGTTAGAATGGGAAAAAGGTATTTCCAGGCAGAACTGAAATGATAGCAAAGGTATAATCCTGGCTGTCACTCAAAGGGGCTCCAATGGACAGATACAGGACATGGTGAATTTGTCTCATCTCCTGGATTTTCACAACAGCACAATTAAGAAGGTACTTACTACACCTTACTACTGTGGTGATGGATCCATTCAGTTTTTGTGGCACTTCCCTAGCACAGCCTTGCAGAAGGGTCCTTACATCTTGCTTTCTCTCCCTCAGCTAAATACCACCTCAAAGCTTGAGCAGGATGGATTGCCAATGTGCTTGCCCTGGAGAGCTCTTTGAACTCACATCTCTCTTTTTTCCTAATTTAAGAGTACAATTTCATCTTTTTTTTTTTCCTGTGGCAGTACTGCATTAGGGAGTTCCTGCCTCTGCACCATTCCTTTGGTTGTGTCAGTGCCGTTCTTTGCAGGCTCTGACTGGTTTCCTGTCTGTGACAAAATCAACCTGTAAATAAGGAGAGGGGAAGAAAGAAATTCCATAAACTGCTGATGCCACTGATATAAGAGATGTGGAACTAGATCCTGAGGCCAAAGCTGGTCTTGCATGTAAGCTGACCAAAAATGCCCCCTCCTGGCCCTTCTTTCCCCCTGCAAGCACTTGTGAAGCCATGCAGTGACTCAGACTGGAGAGCTGATCTAGCTGAATAAGCATCTCCTTGATTTTTTTCCCCCCTCGGGTAATTTCTTGGGCTTGCTCCATTCCTAGATTTGGGATTCACTCTATGACACAAGTAAGGGGGAGGGAGAGAGGGGAATAAGCAGCTGGAGATGGAAGATGCTGCTTAAACCGGATGCTAGATTTATGTCCTAAGATTCTACATTTATGGCCTATGGTGGCAAGGCCTGAAGTGTTTATATTCTGGGAATCTGGCATCTTCCTAACACAAATACCAGCCTTCTTTGAGAAACTGGCATTATTTATTTGGTTTTGCTAGGAAGTAGTTCTGCCTGGAGTTTAGGGCCATTCCATAGTCCTTTTTCATGAACTTCGGAAATGGGAATTCCTGAGATGGCTGAAATCAGAGGACCTGATTTTCACCCCGTGCTGAGGTGCACCTTTTGCTATTGATTGCCCACGTGAAAGCTGAGAGTGGCAGATGCACCTCATCAGGCCCAAGCCAAGAGCTTTAATGAAATTAACAATTTTATAGGGGTTTAACAGACATGTCAATTGGCAAAGGAATAGGAAAATATTCTTCTAATTTCCTTACTTTCAGTGAAATGGAGGACAGAATGTTCCTGTTCTTACCCTGTCCATTTCCAACCATTAAAGACACATTTTTGACAATCCTGGATGTTAAGAACAAGAACCTTGCTATGAGAGAGTAAAAGTACTAGCAGAATGGCCTATATTATTAATATATCATACAATTATGCTTTTTATCTTTATGATATATAGCCCTTTACCACATGTAAGTAAAAAGCACAAGGCCACACAGAGTTATAGAGATGAAAGGCATGTAGTCATATACAAAAATGCAGATAGATTCATGCATGGTAATGTTCTTAAGCTAAAAAATTACTTAGGACAATCACAGCTGGAAACTTTACCTGAGGTTGTAAATTGAAAAGGAGCATAGAGTTCAGAACTGATTGGAGATGGTTCTCAAATCTGCTGTCTATAATGAGAAACATCAACACAAGAGGAGAAAAGGCAAGAAACATGGACAGAGGAAGAGAAAACAACAGAACAGTTGACACATGGCTGCTTTAAAATTAATGAGGATGGAGGTGCTCCTTGTAACATGACTGCGATCCCTCCTAAAAAACTGTATAAGGCAGTCACTCAGAAAATTCCATGGAGAATCCAGGGGAAATTTGGCTTTGGAGGAAATCTAGGCACATAGAAATTCTCTAGCTGAAAAATATCAGAAGTTAAATGCTATATCGATCATTTAATGTTGACTTTTGGTTTTGTGAGAAAAACAAAATAAAACAGGTGGGCATAGAGTTCTGTTGTCATCATGGCTTCTCTTGTGTCCACATATTGATCTGCTTGAGCTTGGAAACCCAAGCTCATGCCCGTGTAATTCTACAGCACATGCATTTGGTCAGGTCAGACCACGGGCAACATGAGATCACATCTGCCTGCAACTGACTGTGAGAAACACAGCTTTAAATCAACCACTGGAAAAAGTGATACAGCCTCTCTTACTTTGGTTTAAATGGAAGATCATCTATTACAAGCAGATTAGCATGCAGGTGGATGCCCAGGACAGCTATGTGTGCTGCTCTGTAACACAAGACATATCTGTGTGCACTTCACCTGTGGGTTTTCTTGTGCCTTATTTTCCACCTGCATTTTTTCCCTAGTGGTTTTCCCAAAGTTCCTTGCTCCTGAAATAGGTTTATTTTCATTTCAGCTTCAATGACACAGACAGTGAACCTGCCTGGATCAGGTTCACTCACCTGTCCTAGCTGCCCTACCTACTACTTCTCTGGTTCCTCTGATATTTCAGAGATATTCAGCCTTATAACTGCTATTTTTCTATTCCACTTCCATCTAGATAAGATTTTCTTGCCAAGAGTGAGGCCAGAAAACTGATTTTGTTTGATTAATTATTTTTTAAATTCCTTAATATTCAAGAAGGGCAAAACTGGCCTTAGCATTAAGGCTACTGTGCATCCTACACTACTGCAAGAGTGTAAGCCAGCTAGCCCTTTCAGCTTGTCCTCTCTTGCCTGTTGATCTAGTTATTTCACAAGCATTCATGTCACTTTTTAAATACTGAGGTGGAAGGCAACAACCCTGATAGCTATTTATTTCCCCTTTATTCTTTCTGTATGTGCTGGCAAGATTGACAATGTCTCGTAAACTGTAGATTTAAAAAGTTTAATTTGTAGGGTAAACCTCTTACTGATCTAGCCCAGGCCTGATTAATTGAAATGCAGATAGCAGATTTTGATCCTGGTAAAAAATTGTTGGGCCAGACTAGAAGACAGCTGCGAGGGCCTGGAGTTTACATTTTCTGTCATGACGATTCTCCTTGGGAAAGAGGTTCTCCACAGCACAGTCATTCACCTGACATTATTTGCGTCACATCCCAGTGGAGTGGACTGGGATGTGCAATTATTCAGCTTCCCAGTAATGACAAAATACTAGTAGTGGCTCTCTGAGAAACACTGATCCCTGTTTCCCAAACACCATTAATTCAACTCTGCTCAGACTATAAAGTGATCATTAGTGAACACCTACTCCAGAGAAAGTAATTCAGTGCAAGAGTGGGTGATAATAAGAGAGGTGTGCTGCCTTGGAGGATGTTTGCTGAAAAGGATCCATATGGTGGTGGTACCCTCAAGGCAAAAGTAAAGGATTTCCATTAGCCAGGAAATGGCAGAAGATGGTGAAACACGATGGTGTTTCCCCTTTCTTCGCCTTTTATGCCAGAGCTTAGTGTCTAGGATGTCCCTTCTATCCGTCCCATCTTCCCTGCTGTATCAGCAGCAGTCTTTAATCTTTGGGGCTTCCTTTTCAGCTCTCTGACCTCACTCTTCATTCTCCTCTCCCCAGACTGCCAAAGCAGCAGTTTGATCTGGGGTCTTCTCACTCTCTTCAGGAGGCAAATTTCAGGATGGCCTTATCTGCCAAGGAGCCTTAAGCCAGGCTGTAGAGAATTAGGAAATCAATCCAGCTCTAGAAGCAGCTTGAGAGCAAAAATCCTATTAGCATGAATCATATCTTTCAGGATGCAAGCATAGAACATAAAACCTAACACCGTGGAGTTTCTGTCACAGCCTTGAATGTTAATATAAGTTTGTGTATCTAGAAGGTGTTTGTTTTATTACTGTGCATTTCCCTGTCTGCTACCATTTTCCAGGGGACAGAGGTATTTTCCTCTGCTATGCAGTTTCTTCTAAGGAAAATGAAATACATAGCAGGGCAAGTTCTGTGACAAATGGTTTCTGGTCTATTTAGACACCTCTGCCCTCAATTCATTCTTGTGCTTGTTCATGCTAGATTGAAAAAAATGTACCTTTTCACTCTATTTTTGAAGAAGACTGCTTTAGGTCACTTGGTATTTTTGATGTCTAAATTTTTTAGACCAGGATTAATCTATATAATAAGCTTTTTGCTTGTCAGTTTTAAACAGATTTTAAAAATAACTTTGAAATACAAGTGTCTGAAATGACCACTGACAAACCATTTATTGTTCAAGTTCCCAGCAATGCACCAGCTGTGTCAGAGAAGCCCTGGAATTAGTAGGTCTGGAATCAGTGAAGGATATAAAGTCCTTTGCAAGTAGACAAGCTTCTTGTAGCTATTATTATATACCTTCCTATTATATACTTGTTAGCACTTAAAATTTCATGTCCTGTCAGAAAGTCCGTGTTGTCATTTCAACCTTCTGGAAGCTGGTCTGAGATGGAATTGAAAAGTACATTCTCTTCCCTCACAGACTCACATTTTTATTTTTTTTTTCCCCACACATGAGTGATTATTCCAGAAGAAAATTTCTATTGTTAAACACAGAGCTTTGATGTGACCAGCTAATTTTGAAACTGATCAGCAATTACAACAACAGGGGAAAATAGCTTTGCCTGTTCTTTCCAAAATAAAAAGTGAGTCAATTTTTCCCCTGGGTCCCTTTTTATTTTCTTTTATCTAGTTTGAAGAAAATGTTCTGGATGCTTGCTTGTTCCTGATGGACAAGGCAGAACTGGAGCTCTCTGGTCGTGGAAACCCAATCAAAATCTGCCGTGTTGCCTCAGCAGTGGTATGTAATGGATGCCTAATATGTGTCAGAAGGGACTCATAAATCAAAGCTAGGCTAATTTAACTGGCCCTCTTGTCCTGACATGCTCTCTACAATACACAACAGATCAGTTGTCCATTCTGACAATTGTCCATTCTGGGGTCTGACTTTTTATTTCTCTCCACTAAAGTTCAAGCAACTGTTATTGGCTTATTGCCCTTTCCTGAGAACAGTGCCTCACTGGTGGGAAAGCCACTTTTATACATTGCACTCCAGACATAAGTGTTTCTTATATGACAATGTTCTCATTTTCCAGTAGCTAATATAATTGAGAAAGCTGTTTCTTCTATGGGTAATACAGTGGCATGATGGGTGGAATTTTGGATGGGGATCTGAGGGACTTTATGTGGATTCCAGTGCTAACCTCAATGGGGTCTTAGAACACTGCAGTGGTGTGTGTGGTTATGTCTGATCCAAGCCCCAAATGATCTAATCAGGCTGTTATATAAGTGGACTGCTTTGGCCCCAGAGGAAAACACTGTGGAAACTGTCCTCTTTAACATGAGTTCCACAAAACATACCCCAGTCAGAATGAAAGTAACTAAAATTACTGAGAAGACTATCCAGATCTCTATTCTTTCCAGTTGCCAGGCACCAGGAATCATGCTAGGTGCAAGAGCAGTCCCATCCCTAATATTCAAGATGCAAAACTCATCCAGGTTGTGGAAGACAGAGGCTGAGTCCTCTCTTTTTGCCTTATTAGAGGTTTGAACTGATGCTTTCTGCTTCCCAGAATAATACTCTAATCATTGAGCTAGAGTAATTAGATGTTCTCTTGAGCCAGCTACTAAAATAGACTGTCCACAAAACATGGCTGCTGGAGATAGATGATTCTTTAACACATTTATTATAGCATTTGCCCAGACTTTAAGAAAATGAGCTCTTTGTCTTAGGAGACATTGAAGTGGAATCTCCAGCCTCTCAATCTTGGATGTTAAATAGAAAAGCTTCAGCAAGAAATATTGAGAATACCTCTACTTCTCTTTGTCTTTTAACATTTTGGTTAGTTCTTTCACCCCATACATTAGAAATACAGCTTTGGACCTTTGGATAGAAAAAAGAATCAAATGTGTTCTTCTCATCTCTGAACTAGTAGATGCAAAAGTTTCTCACGTAAGGACTGTGGAAGTCCTCAGGACAGAATTGAACAAAGTTTACGAATCCAAACAGGGCTTGGATATTAGTTAGGTTTTGAGCCACTCTCAAGGTGCTAGAGAAATGGAGGAATTCACCATTGGAAATCCAGGACTCAATAGACTTTAGGACTAATCTGCAGACTTGGGCCACAATTGGGTAGGGGGTTTGGTCATTGAAATCTGGACCTGAGTAAGAAGTGGGCAAGAGGTGCTGAAATCCCACGTGTGTTACTTAACCTCATTCTTGCTCAAGTTGAAATTGTGGTAGAGTTGAGCTTGTCTGAAGCTATGCCCCCTCCCCGCCCCCCCGCCCCGCCAAGGCTTTCTGGCATGGCAGAGCAGGTAGAGTCCCTCTCTTTTTCCACTCATTACAGTCAGACTAGAAAGTGAAGATCAACATGCTGTCCTGTCCTTGAAGTGATTTTTTTCTTGGCGGGTTTCCTACACTGGTGAGATAGGCACAACCTCTTAACCTGTTGGTTATGACTCTGAATACTTATTTCAGTTCAGTCCTAGAGTTCACAGTAAGTCAATTTTCTAATTATAAAAGAGTAGTTAATGCAGCCAAAAGCTTTTAAATGAGAATTGTGATTTATTTGGCTGGTGTGTAGCTGTTCCACATTAGCATAATTAAAAGGTACAGTGTGAATGAGCTTTTTGCACAGCCTCAACTGGTTTGGTTCAAATTGCAGCTAGGAGACATATTACTCATTAATGCCCATCAGTATAACCATTAGTCAGCAAAACTCTTTGCTTTGTATAATCTTACCAGAGGAAAACTTATACAGCAAATTCCTTCTTGTTTTCATGTGGGCCAGATGAAAGGAATTAATTTCTAATCTGAAAATAACAATAGACTGGTTCTCCTCTCAATCTGTTGCAAATCAGGAGTGATTTTATTAAAAACTCTGGGTTGATATGGATAGAAAAACAGATGATGAAAAGAATACAGCTTAATATTTCTGAGACTTGCTCACCAGTATAGAACTGATTGTGGTTATTAAAAATACACAACAATAAGCATGTTTAATGTTAATAGAACTTACTAACTAGGAACATGGATACTCGGTGTGGTGATTTAATTTCAGATTTATTTTTAAGTGTTTGACCTTCATTCAGAATTGTTCAGTGATAGAGAATCCATGGCCTTTAACAAGATTGTCTTATTTATCCCCCTACCTTCATAATAAGACACTTCTATCTTACTTTCTAGCCTAAACTTGGCTATATTCCCTCTCTCATCCTATCGGTTTGCTGAGTTAAAGAGCTTTTTGTTATCCGGTCTCTGACATCTCTAATGCTCGTTTCCTTTGATTTTAGATTAACTCCAGGGATGACAACGGTGTGATTGCTGGATCCTGGAACAATACATACGATTATGGTGTTGCACCTTCAGCCTGGACGGGAAGTGTGGACATTCTCTTGGAGTACTACAGTTCTAAGCAACCTGTCCGATATGGCCAGTGCTGGGTTTTTGCTGGTGTCTTCAACACATGTAGGTATCAGTGAGAAAAGCTCCAAGCTGATGTGTGGTTCCTGCTTAACAGTTTTTAGGTAAAACTAACTGAAATACTTCCTAGCTCTAGGAAGGATATCTAGCTACTTACTTCAGGAGCAAATAGTAGAGATACTTAAAAATGCATGTCTAAAATAGATGGTCTTTAAATAAACCTCTAGCGTGTCCTACAGGTCAGCTGCTCTTCCACACAAATCTTTTAACTATTTATTGGTTCAGTGAAATGTACTCAGTGACTCACTAGGGTAAGTTTGTGTGAAAGAAAGTTAAATCCTTCAGCACAGTCCGCATTTCTGTCAAGAATTCTTAGACAGAGTACTTGTTGTCTAGTTCTAAAAAATTGAATTAGTACCCAGTATGGGATATGTGATAGTGTTTCTGCTCCATAAAGGCCAAATCTTAGCTAATGAGTGTTGCTCCTAGGAAAATTGAGGTTCACTGTCCCTGCATCTGTTAACTAACCACTGTTAACCTTTTATAGGAGTTCATGAGCCAGAAGAATGGAGAAAATAAATTATGGCCTAGTTTTATGAATTGTCTAGCACTACAAGGTTAAGTCTAAATACATTTTGTCAAAGCAGAGTTCTAGTGTTGTGGTAAACAGAATGTTGCAGGCCATAAAAACCAGTGGGGAAAGCAGTTGCATTGGTCCCATATTTTGACTGTCTAGCACTTTGTAACAACATCATCTGCTAATGCACAGAAACACACTTTCTGGCCTCCTTTGGAGTTGCTCCAGCAGGTCCATGTCCTTCCTATGCTGGGGACCCCATAGCTGGAGGCAGCTCTTGGGGTAGGGTCTCAGCAGAGCAGAGCAGAGGGACAGAATCCCCTCCCTTGGCCTGCTGGCCACACTGCTTGGATGCAGCCCAGGATACAGCTGGGTTTCTGGGTTGCAAGTGCATACTGCCTGGTTATGTTGAGCCTCGCACAATGGGTTTGAAAAAGTTCATGCAAATGTTTCTTATAGATGCAATTCTTGCAGTAGATTCCATAGGCTGCTTTGTCTTCTCTGCCCATTGCCTTATCTGGATTTCCCTAGATCACAGACAGACACACACCCACACCAGTTCTCCCACCTTCCCACCACACTTGCCCTGAATCACCACTATGCAATAATTTGCCTGTAGGCCACTATGAAACTGGGGCGATGCAGTAGAGCCCAGAGCCTGCTGTGTTAAAGGGAGAGGGCATATTTATCTGGGGCAAAACTTGACTTGGTTTGCTGACTAAATTAGTCAAGTCAGAGACCTGGCACTTTGTACGGCAAGTATAAAGTTTGTTGAGCATTATGAAACGCAGATATTGTCCAGTATAGGCTGATCTGATGATAGCCACTGACACATCCAACTGCTGACCACTGTACAGGGGACAGCGAAGGTCCAAACAATCACATGCAACTATCACGGTTGTTTCGAGGTGTTTTTGAGTCTCTCTCTTCTGTCAGTGTTTTATCACTGTGACCAGACCAGCTTTCCAAGGTCACTATATTGTACACTCCAGATATTCATCTGTTAAAAATGCTAAAACATTCCAAAAAATGGTCATTAATCTTGAAATTGTCAGACAAATTATTTCCAATGAGCCCTGATGGCCCATGTGCTGGAAGCCTGGGAGGGCACTTGAATTAAGTTTAATCAATAGATACATATGGTATTGGATGCATCCAGGTAATTTTTCATCCAGGAAGTTGAAATGAATGTGCAGCGTTACGCTTTATTGGGAGTCACAGTAGTGACAGTAATGAATATACAAAACCCAGCAGTAGCAGAAGGGCTGTTCAGCTCTGCAGCATTGGAGCTATTTTTAAATAGGATTTTCAATAAAAATATTTTCCCTAAAAAAAAACCCAAAACCAAACAACCAAATAAACAAAAAAAAAAAACCTACACAAAAACCCCCACAAAAATCCACCCCAAACCAGAAACCACTGCCACCACAACCACCAAAAACCACTAAAAAAAAAAAAATTTTTTTGAAAACCCAAAAAACCAAAACAAACTACATCAACCACTAAAAACCCCTCACCCTCTGTTTTCTGCAAAACCATGTTGCCTCCTAAATTGAAAGCCAGGATCTTTTTCTGGCTGAGACAAAGAAAGTCATCTGGAGTAGCTGAGATGATGTGTCACCCCATAGACTCATTCCCCTAGCCCGGGGATGTGCTCCATGCCTATTTATCTGCCAGGGTACACAACAAACACAGAAGCCTATTGATGCACTGTGGCAGACTATGGACATAGCTGTAGCCTTTCCACAGTTTTTCCACATCTCTTAAATTTACCACTTGTCAAATGGTAAGAAGGGTCATCAGTGCCAATTTGTGATGGTGTGAGAGTTAGGGCTAGAGGCTTTTTCTCTTGTCCTCCTTTTAAGGTCTTAATAAAAGAAGGGACTATTGACTACAAAATGCTGTTACTTGGCAGGCAATATGAATTATGTAATGCATTTTATTCAGATTCTCAAATCCTGACATTTCAGTTGCAAATAATGCAGCTTTTCCCCATGGTTAGCAATCATTTTCTACTTTATTCTTTGTGTTCTCCAGATCCAGTCTGACAGCAGACATCAAACAGGAAAATTCCAAATAAAACCTCCTTAAAAGGAGATACTTTCTATTAATTTTCTTTTTATCATAGTCTCATAATTCTCCTGAGTTACTAATACTAGGAGACCTAATATATTGTGTATCTCTTACAAGCTCAAACTTCTTTTTCTTTGTATCACATTTGGTCATGCAGCTGACCTGTTGCACCTAAATTTGACCTGGAATTCTGCCATGTGGCTATTATGCAAAGCTGCTTTGAAACTATTGGTAATCAGCTGCTTTGGTTATATCCTTTGTACCAGTATTTGTCTGTAATGCTCATAATTTTGAGACCAAATCAAATATTTAGCCTGAACAATATAAATCAGATAGGAGGAATTGTTTGGGTTGATTTGACTGAGTTTTCCTGTTTTGTTCTACTTATTAATATTTCTGTCCTCTCATCCTGTCATCCATGAATGCCATGTCCATATTTGTCCTTCTCATCACACTTCTGTCTTTGCCAGTTCTGAGATGCTTGGGGATACCTGCAAGACTCATTACCAACTATTCTTCTGCCCATGATAACAATGCCAATTTACGGATGGACTTCTTTCTGGATGACGAAGGGAAAGTGGACACCAGACTTACAAAAGATTCTGTCTGGTAAGTCCTCCTGGAAAATGCCTTTAATGTATCAATGTTAAAAGTAGTAAAAAACATGATGGCAATGCCTGTATTGTGTTTATTTCTCTGTGCATTGAAGAACACTGCAGGCTTATGTGAAACACAATGAATGCATTGTTGGTAGGCTGACTAATATGAAGCGTTGTGGTGTAAACAGGCAACTCCTGGGGGATCCTGCTATTAATGTTCCCATACAGTGTTCATTTAAACACACTGAAGAGCTGGAATAGGCTTATGCTCTTCAGGGACTAGTTTTTCTAAAAATGGAAGGGGGTAGGATAGGCACTTTCATCCTTCTAGAGCCAGGCTCCAAGGGGTACCTCAATATCTATGGAAAAACACCCTTTTTGATCTGCTTGGGCCCAGTTTCTTGTATTTGTAGACTGTTTTTTATATTGTGTGCACACAGTCATTGTGGCAAAGAGGTGCTTTCCAAAATAAACCCAGTTCTGCTGGAAAAGAAACAAGACAAGGTATCATAAAAGATACTGAAATGCTATCACCATATTTATAAAAAGGAAACTCCCTAGGGCCAAGAGAAGTTTACACATTCTTTTTGAGAAGGCAGTCCTCTAACTGGCTCTTCAAACTCTTACTGTCTTCTGTCTGACAGGAGAACTGTAGCATATATTGATTATATGCTCTGTGTGGGATATTGGCCTTCAAGCCTCTCCTCCTCAGAGTTAAGAAATGAATGTGACCTCTACATTCCTATATTCAAGAGATACTTGTCCTATTCAATGTTAATATACCTGACTTGTGTCAATGATACCTTCAACTCATTAGCATGGCAGTTCATCAGCATGTTTCATTAATGACTTAATCTCGGGAAGTCTTTGTATTAAAACTGTAATAAACCCACTATGTGGTAGAGGAAATGACTGAGCCTGTTGTTGTTACATCTTTTATGTGATTTCCATAATCAGGAGGAAATCTAAGGAAAGCAGGTTCACTTATTTGTGTCACAGCAAGACAGAGTAGTTGAGACTAGAAGGGACCCTTGGAAGTCGCCGAACCCTCCTGCTTAAAGCACCATCAGCTAGAGCAGGTTGCTCAGGTCTGTGTCCAGCTGGTCTTCGAATATCTCCAAGGATAGGCAACCCACAACTTCTCTGGGAAACTTGTGCCAGTGGTCAACCATTTTCACAGTAAGAAAAGTGTTTCCTGATCTTCATACACATTTTTCTGTGTTTCAGTGTGTGCTCATTGCTTCTTGTCCTGTCCTTGAGCTGCTGAGAAGAGTCTGGCTCTGTCTTCTTTCCCTCAATTCCCCAACCAGGAATTTATACACATGATAAGATCCTACTCAGCCTTCCCATCTTCAGACTGAACAGTCCCAGCTGCCTTAGTTTCTCCTTGTGTAGAGTGTTGTATCTGCTATTCCTTCCAGTTTTCTTCAACAGCATACTCGATTACAGCGTGTCTCGTAATCCAGGTAATAACGAAGCTGTTAAACAGTGTCAGACCCCTGGGGTACACAACTAATGACTGAGCTCCAGCTGGGGTGATCACTACTGATCACAATCCTCTGATTCCAGCAATTCAGCCTGTTATCAATATATCTTGATGTCCATTTGTCTAGTCTACACTTCAGAGGTTTGTCTGTGAGGATGTTCTTGGAGATAGCACTAAAGTCAAAAGGACCAACACCCATGCAGTGGTCTCCCCTTTGTCCTTTCAGTCACTTGTTTCAGCAGAAAAGGCTCTCAGGTTTATCAGGCACAGCTGGCTGCTTGTAAATCCACAGTGACTACTGCCAATCACCTAGTCCTTAATAAGTTTGGAAATGTTTTCCAGAAGAACTTGCTCTATAACCTTCCTAGAGATCAAAGGAAAGCTGACAAGTCTCTTTCTCCCTGGATACTCCTCTCTTGAAGAATAGAGCGATATTTAATTTCCTCCAATCTGCAGGAACTTCCTCCAATTACCATGATCTTTTGAAGATAGATATGAGTGGTCTTACAGTGACATTACCAAGCTCCCTCAGCATTTTTCATGCGATTACTTCTTATTTTCCATCAGATCCACTGGACTTTTATGTGTTCACTTTGTTTAACTGTTCTCTATCTTGTTACTTGTCTAGTTTTCATTGTTCCAAACCTCCACACTGGTCTCATGGGCTGTGATTCCTGAGGGCAAATCTTAGCAGTAAAAAACAAGGTAAAGAAATCATTGAATGCCTTCTCCTAATCCTTTGTCACCAGGTTTCCTGCTGTGTTCAACAGCAGAGCCACATTCTATAGGCTTCATTTTGACATCGATTTGCTTGCATTTCTTGCTGCTCTTCATGTCCCTTGACATACTTTGTTTGCTCTGTTCTGGCTTTCCTATACCTATGCCTGGATGCTCAGCGGCTCTGTTTTCCTCCTGGTCACCTGTCCCCTCTCCCTGCTTCTTTCTTAAACACCTCTTTTTTTATGTTGGATTTTAATTGGGACTACCTTGTGGACTTGTGTCACTTTTGATTGATTTCCTGCACACAACGATGGACCATTCTTAAGTCTGGAAGAGGTGACTCTTGAAAAACATCCAGCTCTTGTGCATCCATCTTCTACTCAGAACTGCTACCCATGGGATTCTTCCAAGCAGCACCTTAAAGATGTTAAAGCGTGCTCTCCTGAAATCCAGAGTCATGGTCCTGCCATTTGCCTTGTTGCCGCCTGTTAGTATAGTATCCTTGGCCAGTTTTACCTGCTGTCTGTGAGACAGAAGGACCTCAGAATATCTCATGCTGGTCCTTTTATGGCTTAGAGAGCTGTAAAGGAGAAGTCTTCTGAAATCTCCTCTGCCTATAAAAGATGTGAAACAAGAGCCAGTGACTGGGAGCCTCAGTGCACAATCCATACACACCCAGTAATGGATCATTGCTATGCTTTACAATTTTTACTGTCTCATCCCTTCTCTCATTCTCCTAACCTGATCTGTGAAATACATCCCACCAGCTTTAGACATTTCCTTTTACTTCCCTACCTCTATTTTTTCCCAGCCGTTTCCCAAGACTTCTTAATTTAATTTCTTTTCTCCTGCATTCTTTTGGGACAGGGTGAGATCATCCAAAAATCATCCTAGTCCCAATGAAATCTACATTCAGTTTTACACTAGCATTTCTTCCTTCCATCCTACATTGCTTTTCCTTGGCTTGATAATTTTTTAACTGCCTTGTTCATCTTTTTATCCTCCCAGTGCATTTATTAGTACATGGTGCACATAACCCTTCGGGCATGACTTAATATATACACTTCTTTTCATTTCTCCTCTGTGTCCTTTCTTGTCATTACTCTGTAACACTCCTTGGTAGCCCACATGCTGACTTCTAATGACTTGTGTCTTAACCCTGATTTCATTTTTAATGCCTCTTTTATTTCTTTTTTTAAGAGAACAAGCTCAAGGTATTTATAATGATTTTTTAAAATGCATTTCTCACTTTTATTTATAATCTCTTGAAAACTGGAAGCAAAGCTCTTTTTCTTTATTAATATATCATTTCTATTGTACTGCTGGAGCTGACCTGTCTTCAGGTCTTAAATACTCTCAGACTTCAGGGATACTTGGAGCCAGGATTTTTAGTCCAATCAATCTCTGAGTGTGGGGCTCCCTCTGAATGTTATCTGACATTTATTTATTTTTATTAAAGATTGTCTTCTACTTCAGTATAGGAAACAGCACCACCAACAACAAAACACATATACAAAATTACACAGACTTTGCAAGAAGTTATTTTTATAAATCTGGCCGGATTTGGGGCTATCAGTACTGTCTGTTCTCCTTGTCTTTCTTAATGATGATATAAAGACACTAAAGAATATTTCTCTTGGATGGGAATCAAGACTCACTCCTACTGTGAGGTCCAAACAGATCAACATCAGGATCTCAGCAGAAATTTGCTTTATGTCACACAGCCCCATGGGAGTTCATCCATGTCCAGGCCTGTGAACAAAGCCCTTCTGAGACCTCTGCTCTCCCATTTAGTTCCAAATCACTTTGCTCTAATTTCTCAACAATATTATCAGTGCCTCACCCTAGCAGTCCCTCTCGACCTCAATGCCTGAACTTGTTAACTCATAAAAGGGCAGCAGCTGCTTCCAGCATCTGCCTGTCCCATAAGCAATATGAGCTACTGCTCTTGAATTGTCTTCCAGGCATAAAACCTGCCTGGTCATCTTTTATTAATTTCCCCAATGCTTTTCCCCATTCCCCATGCTTTGTTTAGTCTATCCGTAATTATCTCTGTAAATATTTAATGGTCACTACATTGATCTCTATTGCCTTTCTTGCTTTCTTTAATGTCTCAGGCTTGCTGTAGAATACAAGAATTATAGAATTAGTTTAACAAATTATGGCCAAGGAATCAGCTCCTCAGCTATGCTCACTTCTATAGGAAAGCTTCTACTACCTTTGAAAAGGCAAATGTTTCCCTCATCCTCCTTTTCTTAATGCTCACTGCTCTACAAGCAGTGTCTTCCTGTCCATTCAGATTCGATATCCTTATGTGTATTTGTTATTTGGATGGCAGCAGACCTAAAAAAATTGCCATCCTGTTGTGTCCAGCACTACACCAACAGGAACCAGAAAAAAAACGTCCTGTTTCTAAGATAAATGGAGAAAAAAATATAGAAAAACTGTGTTACCTAATTAAATAACTGAAGTAGATCTGCCATTTTCCACACTGTTACCCCAATCCCAGCCTTGTTTTTATCATCCTTTCCTTTTTCCTGCTTTTCAGGTTCTTCTTTCACAGAATGCAAAGCCAGTGACACATACAACTTTGATTCAAAGTGAACCAGTGAAGGCTTCAGGGCAGAAATTGTCTTTCACATATGTTGGCATAACAGTTTGCAAATACCCACTTTTCATGAAGTGTGTCCCCATTCTCAGGTAGCCCTCAGCAAAGTTCTGTGAGCATGATTCAGCACTGACTACTCTCAGAAGCATAAATAAATTCTCCGAGTGTGCGTCATTTTCCTTGAATAATTCCTTTTTCTGTAGTGCTGCTTCATTAACTCTCCTCACTGACAAGTTTTACCCTGATCCAAGCTTTCATTTCCACTTTGAAATGTCTTGTTAGACAAGCTTCAGATCCTTCTGACTCTGCTCCATAGCTGATTTTCACCTATTATTAATGAAATGGTCAGAGTTTAACAATCCCCATTTTGGTTGCTAATATCATTGCATGTACTAGAGGCTGTATCAGCAGCTACACAGATGTAAGTTTGTTCAGATCTGCTGTAGGATATGTATAATTTGCAAGCAAAATTGCCCCTTTCTCTACTCTTTCCTTCCTTTATTTTTTGCAGTAATGAAATTCAAACACTTTTCTGGCTTTACTGAGAGATCCTGTTTCCAGATTATCTTTTTTTCTTGCTTGTGCTCTCCCTGGAGCATTGGTAGCATTGCTGGAAATTACAACCTCTGTCTGTCTTTTCTGCTTATCTTTGAAATACCCAGGGCAGACTGTGATGGTGCTGTACTGGTTTTTTAATTCTCCTGAGCATACACCCAGGTGAGAGTGCTTTAAGCCTGAGCATCTAGATTAACTACTCTCTGAATTTTATAACTCAGGTCACTGTCCTGGACCCTAAATATGAAAGTTGGCCCATAGTGGTTGTAGGTAGGTTTTATGTGCGTTTTAGGAGCTCTGACACCATGCTTTGGCATGACACATGGGGAAAAACTTATAAGGAATCCACAGTGAAGATAGTTTTTGAAAGGCTGTGCAGGGTCTTTTTCTCAATCATCATGGAAGCCAGCAAAGCATTCTTGTTTTGAGCCATGAAAACAAAACTACACACTGTACGTTGCAGAGTCGAGCCCGAATCTCTTAGTAAATGCTGCCAAAGCTTCAGTCTGAATGATTATAAAGCAGACCATCTTTCATAGGCTTGGAGATTCAAAGTTTGCTTTAGCAGGCAGATTGAAGTGGAGGTGTCTGGCCAGAAAAGGATTCTAGTTTGTGTAGCTTTTCATATACCCCCAAAAATCTCCAAACACTGGTATATTTTCCAAGACTTTTATACTCAGAACACATTAGAAGAATCAAAAAACCTTCTTCAACTTTCAGTCAAGAAACTACAATGAAGGATTGTGGCTTTCAGATTTTAACAGATAGGTACCAAACTTATAGACCTAAAAATCTGTTCTCTTAAAAGAGTCAACGTTTTTATCCCTGAATTGGCAAAAGATGCTATTGAAGCAATGCCAGGACATAAATACACAGGATTTGTTTTGGTCTGTGTGCTTCTTTCCAAGAATTTAATATACTGGTCCCATCTCTTGTCTAAGGAATTACCATTGCTGGAACGAAGCTTGGATGACTAGACCTGACCTTCCCGTTGGTTTTGGAGGCTGGCAGGTTGTGGATGGGACACCTCAAGAAACCAGTGATGGTAATATTGCTTGAAGTCTTCCTACTTCATTGGAATCTTTGTTTCAAACAGTGAGCTGACAATACCTGAGCCAGAGGCACCTAGCACCATAGGGCCAGTGAAAACTTCTTGAGCCAAATAACCACTATTGCCTCAGGGCCTTCTCCTGATCTGTTTTGAACTCTAAAATAAATGTGTCCTTATTATAACACTGCTCATGATGCCCTGGGGCACAAAATCCTGCATGAGAAAGGCCCTGCTTGGTACTGAAGAGATGTGATCCTGTTGCCAAAGATGGCTTCTCACATTTTAGAATACCTATATAGGAGCCTGAACAGATTAATTCTCCTTTACTTTATGTAGCCCTAACTGAACTACATGGGCAGACAGTAGGCAGGAGAGAAAAAAGGTCACTGGTCGTTCTTTCCAGTCCTTAATTTCCCAGCCCTTAAACTACAATCTTCTCAAATTTGTAGCAAGGTCTTTCTAAGCCTGTGGTATACTGTTTTACCCAAAACCAGTTGTAACTGTATTTTAAGTGCTTGAGACTTACTGTGGATATTGCAGTGCCATTAAAGGTGCTGAACCACCAGGTTGTTACAGACCCAAGTCTGTGTTATCTACAGGGCTGAAAACAAAATTAAGCTTTTCGCGTCATGGCCAGGAATTCCTGTAGATTAGAGGATTTCATCAAACCCCAAGAATTCTTTTTCTTTGAGAATATATAATATTTTTACATGTTTTTAATTTATTTAGTCTCTCACTTTGTCTCTCTTCTCCCCGTAGGTATGTACAGGTGTGGTCCAGCCTCAGTTCAAGCCATTAAACATGGTCACGTTTGTTTCCAATTTGATGCTCCTTTTGTCTATGCTGAGGTACATATGTGAAATTTTTTACTGCAGTGAGTGATATCAGTGAGACCATAGTGAGACAAAATATAGGGCTCCACTTCAATTTATGGATTGCGAAGTTACTTCATGTATGCTTCATGTCACAGAACAACCTCCTCATTATGTTTTGACATGGCTCGAATGAATGACAGATATTTGTCTAATCTCTGCTCCCCAGTGTAATAAGAAAAAGCTTATTATTAATTGAAACTTCAGGCTGTGGTCATTTTTCCTTCCAAGATTCAGGTATGCTGAATGGGTCACTAGCTCTAACTGCTCATTCTCTTTACTCACCACATTCCTTTTGGCTGCTGTGGGTCATGGAGATCTCACATGGGTGATTTGACTGACAGATCTGAGAGGGAAATATCTCAATAAGGAGATAAATGGCCTGGTCTGGAGTTTTAACCTCTTGCATCACCAGAGGAGGCATTCCCAGAATTGCAATGCTGCAGGACAAATTTCTTTCTAATTGAATTGTAAATGGCTTAGGACAGAAAAGAATGAAGATATTTTAGCTATTAAGCATTCTCCTCTCTATTTCTAAAGGTTTTTGGTACAAGAAATAAGTAGTAGTGCTCCTCAAATTTGAATTACCTCTCTGTATCCTTGTGAAGTTTATACACTCTATCATTCTGGAGCTGTGAATAATAAAGTGCATCTCAGCATACGCCTAATTTTAAACATGAAATGTAGATGTGAGTAATTAGTGGGACTTAATTAGCGGGGGAGATAAGCTGACTCCTCTTCCTCTCTCTGCTTTCATATATCTCAATATTCTTTCATTTAATTTCATAGGTGAATAGTGACATTTTTTACACAAGAATGGAGAAAAATGGAACCCAAGTGGTAGAAAACATTGACACGACCCATATTGGGCAGTTGATTGTGACCAAGGCAGTTGGAGGTGATGGAATGGTGGACATTACTGAGCAGTACAAGTTCCGAGAAGGTAACCTGAAATGAGCTGGGACCATATGGATGTAGATTTATCTCAGTCAAATCCTGGATGATGACTTGGAAACCTCTGTCACTGAGGGAGCTTAATAAAAAGCTGCCTAAGTGCTCTCTGGAATTCTTTATTTGTAACTTCATCCCAGGAATACTGTAGATGCCTTGATCATAAGGCACAAGCAAAGCACAAACTTTTCTACTCTGAAATGCTTTAGACTAAGTAAGTTGTAGTGAAAATAAAGGCTAGTCATGGAGCAACTCAAAGCATTCAAAACAATTCAAGGCTTTCTGTACAGATGTTTAGATGTTTCTTATTCAGGCAGATGTTCACAAAGAGTAAACCAGTGTAGCTGGAATTCAGCTACATCAGTTTGTCTGATATGGCTTTAAAACCAACTCCCCTGGTAGCAGTGAAGTTCTCCCACTGCTAATGTTACTCCAGGGGGGTTCACTGTCCTCATCTATTTATTTCAGCTACTACAAACTACATAACTACCCTTATGATCAGTAGGTAGGGCTGATGCTGCACTCCTGTTTCTTTTCTAAATCTGGTTTTCATTCATTCCTAGGCTCAGATGAGGAGAGGCTGGCTCTTGAGACCGCTGTGATGTATGGTGTTAAAAAGCAAAGTATCCAAGACACCACATACCAGCCACAGACAGATGTTGACATGGACTTCCAAGTGCAAAAGGCAGTCCTTGGCAATGACTTTAAAGTCACTATAACATTCAGGAACAAGAGTCGCAACTCCTACACTGCAACTACCTACTTTTCGGGTAACATAGTGTTTTATACAGGAGTCACAAAAACTGAATTCAAGAAACACTCTTTCAGTGCAAAACTGGAACCCTCTTCATGTAAGTCTTGCATAGTTGTTTTCTGTGTTCTTAACTGTCACCAGTGTTTCCACCCATGGGTAGATCCAATTCTAGTAGCCAATGGTAGGATATTCTATTGGGTATCAGAAGGACCCACCCCCTTCCCTGGGCTGGATATCAGGGTCATTTGAAGCTGAGGTTGTTTTCTTGAGGCTGTTTCTCCCTGCATAATGCTCTTTTGCACCAAGCTGCATGTCTGGGAATTGTTACTTTTTCTTCTTTAGTACAGAAGAAATCAAAGGAGGACAGATATTAAGCAGCAAGATATTGTTTTTCCTTTGAATTCCTTTATTTTCCTTAGCAGCATTTTAGCAATTGAAGGGGAAGTTCTGGCTCCACAGGGTGTGGTGTCATGTACAGAGACAAAAGGGTGTATTTTTTGTCTTACCTGGTAGAAGCTGACACGTTCTGAGTAGATTCTAGTGAATATCTGGTTTTGGAGGACTGTGTGGTTCAGGATTTCATATGTACAGTGATAAAGTTTATATATAATGAGAATGCGCCACGATGGAGCAGGGATATTTGCAAGCTGGGCAGGAGCCCCAAAGGTGAATTATCTTTACAGATGCAGCATTTACTTTTCCTAGTGCCCTCTGGGATACAGTAGGGAGATCCTGCCTCCCACTTCTCATGAGAGAAGCAGTTCCTGGCAGACTAGCTTAGGAGGCTGTGGGCAGGTTTTTGTACTGCTCAAAGCAGGGAAGAGGAATATTCTCCTTTGTAAAATAGGACAAAACCTATTTCCTGACAACCATTGCAACAGATGTTTAGGACTAGCTTACTTCCAAGTGCTACCTAGGAGGCTCTAGCAGCCACATGTTCTCCTGACAGGCCTCTGTCCTTGGTCAGCACCTCCAGCTCAGCAAAAGTGATGATCTCTTACAGAGATGAAGTGTAGGATCCTTCACTTGAGTTCCCTGCTGAGAGAGTCAGCAGCCATGACTTTGCCTTCTAGACACTGCTACTGGGCTACTCCTTCTGAGTGCAGCAGGAGTAGCAGGACTTTGGGAGCCCAGAGGATGGGCCTCCTGAACTGGGTCTGCTGCTAGATCACAGCACTCCCAGCTGACCTCTGAGCTTTCTGTCTTGTCCACCTCATCCCAGCTCAAGAGACACTGTGAGGCGTATTTCTTCCAAGAGGGCTAATTTTGTCTCAGTGAGAAGCCTCCATGGAACCACAGCTCCTGTCAGGCCACAAAAAAAATCCTTTGCTTTCTTTCTCACTTTGAACATCATCTGAAACTGCACATTTTATTTGGAGCTCATTGTTCGGCAAAAAGGAGAAGTCCACTGATAAAGATCTACTTGTGAAGGTTAATAAAACTTCTACCTCCAGCCTGTAACAAAGCCCTGAGAGCTACTTGCTGATTCTTTCTAGCTCTGTGGATCATTTGCAGGGGGCCTGGAAATGGGCATTGCATGGTTCCAATAAATGCTATCCAAACACAGCGTGAAGGTTTATAGTGACTTACATCAGTTACTAAATATCTGATCTGAAATCCTGCAAAACTTTTTGCGACTTGAATAGGTACATTAAAAAAAATCCGTTTCAATAATCTTGGTCTAAATTCTGTGCTGCTTCTTTGATGAGGGAAAATTCAGTCATCTTGTAGGAGAAGTGTATGTTACATTTTCTGGCTGTGATTTGTGTATGGTTCTAGGACTTATTTATGTCTGCTCTTCTATCAAAGGTCTGTGTAGGGCATTACTACCTAAAATACAGCTTTGGCAGTGCTTTGAGGATCACCTGGTTCCTCTCTGCAAGAAATGAAATTAATAGATGTTTAAACATCACTGAGCATCATAATTCATTTTTTCTAATTTAAGTAAATGCTAAGAGACAAAGCTTCTTGAAATAGTGCTGGAAACTCTAAACTGAGTGATGGTGAGTGAATGTAGATTGAGGAGAGGCACCTGAAAGAACAGAACATGAATTTTATGTATGTGTACCAAGAGTATGTCCCCATCACTACTTCTGGCCAATGAGACATTTTTAAAGCTATTCCCACTTATCAAGGTGGGAATTTGCTTATATCTGAGCTACAGTCATCAATTTGCGGGCCACTCTGTTCTGCAACAGGAAAAAAATCTCCTCACAAATTACACCATTTCTGAAGGTGATACATTAAATTTGAGCATGAATTCTTTCACCTTTTCCTTGGAAAGTAGTATATGTAGAATCAGGAATAGTGTCTGAGCAGGTGGGCAGTGTGAAGGAGGTAGTGTGATTATCTGCAAGTGCATGAGAACAATCTGTCAGGAATGTAATGGGAGGGTACCTTCCAAAGCACCCAAGCAGGATTTTTAGGCTTTGTTCAGGGTGAGAACTGTGTGTGTGTCTAGATATATATATGTATATGTATATGTATATGTATATGTATATGTATATATATATATATATATATATATATATATATAAAACAAAAAATTACAATGCTAAACAGATGTATTAAAGGCATTCTTCCAGCCCAAAATACTGAAAGCATGAGGCAAGCTAAGTTTTCAAAAAGGAACCAAATGAATTATTTTCAGAATAATGATTAAAGGAATTGTGTGGGTTGAAAACATCTTTGAGGATTTGAATAGCTTAAACCTTCCAGTGCCTTCAAAGGTGCTCTTGGATCTACTGAGTTATATTTAGTTTTCTGTATTTTTTTGAAAAACTATAAGGCAACTCAGTGTTGTGTCTCCCTTGGCTTTCCCAGATGCATTAAGTGGTACTGACAATTTATCAGCACAACCAGTGCTAAGACAATGGAAGTATATTCTTCTTTTTTTCCTGCAGTGATTAAATTTAAACAGAAAAGTTTATTTTCTTCCATTGTAAAGTAAATTTATCCTATTTTTTAACTTATTTATTTACTTATTTACTTCTTAGATGAGAAATACCTTGCCTGATTTATACTTTACAGTTAAGGGTATTATGGGAAATTATTTTACACAAGATAAAGAGTGAGAGGGAGGGAGCAGGAGCACATCAAGTAATTTTAAGGCTGGCCTAGTAAATCCAGGTCAGGTGGCCACCAAGGGAATAGCTTTGAAACCAAATCAAAGAACTGGTTTTGATGTGAGCGGATCAAAAGAGCGAAATGGGTGAATGTCATTTACCCAACTGAGTTCAATTATCTCAGTGTTACCAGTGTATGTCACAAATACAATACAAATAACAGATAACAGTAATCATCATAGGTATCAGATGGGAAATCTTGATGTGTTTACTAGTGTTATAATGAATGCTTATAGAGAGAAGAGCTCCAGGTCTATATATTTTGCCTGGTCAGTTAGTTAGCAGGTCTGATTCTCTGTATCGCATTTTCACACCATTGTTGGCATGGGAATTGCAGTTCAATATAGTTAAAACTAATGATTCCCTGCTTCTCAACTGTCTAGCCTACAGGGACTTGTTCCTTCCGATAATTATTGTCAGAGAGCATGTGAAAGCTCTCTGGAGGGTATGCTGGTGACAGGAGGACCTTCTTGCTAACGTTTGCAGGCAAGTCCAATGTAGAACAAAAGCAGATAACCAGCCATGTCCTGGAGAGCAGGTGATCTCCCAGATAGCCTGCATGGGCTCACATCCCCCAGTTACTGCTCTGGCAGCATCCCTGTGCCAAGAAGAGTGGCAAAGAAAGAACAAGGGTAAAATGAAAGAGCAAACATTTACAGCAAACATTTTTACGCAAAAGCCAGTTTGGACCTTTGTGTCTTTGTTCCTGCCTTCCTTCTCATTTATTTTGTGGTTGCCCCTAGAAGCCTTCAACAGTGACCTGGCCAATGCTGAGGGTACTGGGCAGAGGCTGTGCACAAACCCAGCCCTTGCCCCTGGAAGCTCACGGCCTAAACAGAAAGAGGGAAAAATTAGAGGGGAAACGGTGTAGTAAAGAAATTAAGTTAGTTTGAGAGGGGGGGAAAAATCAAAGCCATTGTTTAGCTCAAAAACCACCTTTTTTCCAAGGCACTCATGTAATTGGCACTGGCCATGATGAGAGGAGCAGTTAGTGATAAGATTGCTTCTGATGCCTTTTTTCTTTCCTGTGTCTCCCCTCAGCCAGCTCTTTCGACATTGTGATCAAATCAAGCGAGTACATGAGTGACCTGCTGGAGCAAGCCTCCTTTCATTTCTTTGTGACTGCACGGATCAATGAAACAGGGAAGATTCTGGCTGTGCAGAAGGCAATAATGCTGGAAATTCCAACCCTGCGGATCAAGGTAGCTCAAGGTTGTGGTGGAAGGGCTGTGTTCTCTGCAAGGGTGTTGCATTGACTTGTGGGGCAGAGGAGTGTGTGTGTTTATGCCCATTAGAGCATCTAACACGGACCTTATAGAGCAGTACATTATATAGTGTAGTGAATGTCCCTACATTGAAGAGAGAGGCTGACAGCAGCACTGGTAGCGAAGAGCTGAAATAATCTCAGTGGAGGAAAGAAGGGAAAAGATCTGAGAAAGCTGAAGAAACTCAAAGGGTAAGAGAGATTACTCAGTCACTCAAGTTCTTTAACTTCTTCAAAAGTCTATTATGTTTAAAGCAACATGGCACAGGGGCCTCTTGCTGAAGAATGAAGAACACTGGTATTGAAGTGATTTTGCTGGGAGAGCTTCCACAGGTATTGTGTGAAGTTTCTCCAAATTTGAATGGGCAGCACTGATTCGGGACAATGTCTAGGGACTTCAGTGTTTTGATGCCACTCTGAATGTAGTGCCAGTGGTGTTCCCCGAAAGTTGGAGCGTTTCTGCAGAGTGGTGTGGTATCTATGAAAAAGGAGAAGAGTAATGCTTGTGATACTACAAGGAGCCCATGTTGTATGGCAAAGATAAGGCATTTTTACTTAACTGAGATTAATTTAACAAGACATTTAAACTTGGATTTAAACTTCTCAATTCATAACCAGGCATGCAAATAAATTGTATTGTTTTCAAAAGCACCAAGCCTTAATCTGCTTTGAATGATGGAATTTGGATCTGCTTTTTTCCTAACACTAGAAAAAGAAATCAGAAGACATGTTCAGGAAGCTTTATATAAGCATTAATACAGCTCTGTAAAATTTGGGACCGTGAAAGAAATCTAAGTTTATACAACTTTTCCCCTCTGTGTATTTATTTGAACTAGTGCTCAGGTTTCTATATAATAATTTATGTAGCAACTGCAGCCTTATGCAAAAAAAGCTCTTTTAGAAACGTGGATCAGGACTACATCAAAGTTAGCCAAAAAATTACTCTGTTTCGTGGACATTAGTAATATCATGATGTTCTGGTCAGATAATTGTATTTTCAAAAAAAACATTTTTGGTCCACTAAGCATTCCAGAGGGGAGGTAAACAAGACAAGTAAACTCTACTTCAAATACCTGTCTTCAATAACCAAATTCTAAAAGTAAAGAATTCTTTCCATTCAATACTTAAGCAGAACATCTTCTACATCATCTCAGATTTTCACTTCAAAATATTTTATTCTCTTTGCTGTTCTGAAGAAAGGAGTTTTAGAATAGACTGTTGTCCAAAACCCATGTTTTTGAGTGAAACTAAGCTTTTCTCTTTTCTGTTCCTTTGTGATGTATGAAAATACACTGAAATTTTAAAAGCTGGATATTTTAAGGGGGGGGGGGGGTGTGCATGTGTGTAATCATATATTGATAGAAGAAATTTTGATTTATTGCTTTTTAATGAAATTTGAGATCATTTATCCATTTAGTTTTCTTGTCAAGTTTGTTCAGTGGATGTGACTGGCAGACCAAATTTCTTGATGTGAGAGTGAGAGAGAAGAATGAAAAAATGTATCTCCCATTATGTCTTCAGATGAACATTTGATCTTTCTCTGTTGGTCTAAGGAGATTCTCAGACTCAACAGCTGAGGAAATTACACCATATTCTAACCTTGAGATGAGGTTACAGAAATAAGACCAGCAAATACATATCATGGTCTCAGCTGCAAGTGTGGGACTTTGGGATGATTTTGAATCACACCCAGTGATCTTAAATGGCCAATTGAAATTAACAGGTTATAGGATCTCTAATTGATCTGTAATTGAGACTTCTGAAAATGCCTGTGATGTCCTTTTGCACATTCATATGGCCAAATGCCGTTGAGAGCTTAGTTGTGTCTCCTCCTTTACTCCAGTCATTTTACTGGTTCTTTTGGCAAAGAGTAATCCCTTAGACTAGTGTCTATGCAGCTTTTTGCAAATGTCATACCTCCTTAAAACACCACTTTACATTTATTGACAAGATACTTGATTTTCTTAGTTACCTTTCTCAAAGCCCTTGAAATCAGTTCATGGACCATGAAGTGGGCTGGAAGATCTGCCAGCCATAAGTTGAAAACCCATGCTCAAGCAAAACAAGTACACATATTCTGCAAAAAATGCTGAATTTCCAGGGGGATAAAGAATCCCAAATCCCCATGCATGTCGCTGTTGTTAAAAAACACATTTGTTTGGAGGTTTACTGTTTTCCAGCACAAAATGTACTGCTCTTTTGCTAACAAAGGGTTTAGAGGAAAATTGGCCTTCAGGCCTCCATAGAGCATATGTGCAAGGGTAGAAACCCTTCAGAGCAGAAGAAAAGAATGCAAAAGTAAGGGGAAGATGGGCATGAAAATTTTGAGAGTGTAACCACATAGCCTGGTGTTTCTAATTTAGGGTAAGACCTGCCCTTTTCTTCTGGAGCTTATGTCCTGAGCAGATCCCGTCAGTGCTGGTGGGAAGCCTGAGGAGGGGCACAGAGTCTAGGAGACATTCTCATCAGCTGGAGTCACCCTCAGTTGGGCCCTCAGCTCCAGAACTGTACATGCAGATTTCTGTTTTTCTATGGAAATGAGGGCCAGCCTCTTGATCTGCCATGTGGTTTGAGGAAAAATTACAATGGGTAGAAAAATGTGCCACCCAACAATTTTCTTCTCACTAGGCTTTCTTTGCCTCATGCTATTTTGCTGATCTTCTTTTGCCTTGCCAGTACTTTGTATCTGTTATTATCAGTTTCTGGTGCATTGTCCTTTCCTTGTCTTGCAGACCAAAGGTGAACTGGTAGCTGGTAAAGAAACATCGGTGATTGTGGAATTCACCAATCCTCTGAAACAAACCCTGGAGAACGTCATGCTCCGCCTCGAGGGACCTGGTGTGCTGAGAACAATAAAAAAGCAGTTCGGGTAGGGAAGAAAGCACAACCAGCTGGGAGTTTGTCCTCTGTTTGCTCACAGTAGGAAGCTCACAAGAGACACTTAACTAATGCTGTGCTGAGTAATTTAATTCAAACACTCTCTCTGTACTTTAAAATCCAATACACTGGGGAGCTGTAGGTCTCAGTAGTCAGTAGAAGTCAGGCTATCCAGATGGTGGGAGAATTTCATCTTCTCAGTACTAGGGTTGGAGGAATTGGTAGTGTTTGTGGATAGTTGCTAGTGCAGCCCAAGTTTACTTTTTCACTGTATTACATTATTTTTAGCACTTGACAATAGCACCTACAAGCCGCTATCACAGAGGAGAAGATTTATCTTGCACTTGAAGTGTTTACTGCCGCTCACTCAGCATGTGCAAATCGAGTCCTGTGCTGTTTTTCAGAAAGGGCTTTTCTCTGCTCATGTTAATCACGATTATACAAGATGTTCAGGTACCTCAGATGATCTTTTCAAGCTCATGTCAAGACACAAAATGTGTGTTGTTTGCAGAGCCTGCTGGCATAGCTGCTGCGTGTGTGTGAGGGCACAGCTCCCCTCAGTAGTTCCACTGCATAGGGCTGCCCTGGCACAAAGGCATGTTCCCAGCACAGGGCGCTTCCAGATCTGAGGAAAAGGAAAGCCACCTTCATTATTCTCAGAGTCACACCTTACACTGACACCATGATACCCCTACGCTACGCAAGTTGTAAATCCTCTTTCCGTTTGTGTTCAGTGTTATGAGCTTAGCATGAGCCAAGGGTATATAACAGAGAAACTTGAAAAATTTTGAGGCTGTGGGGCTGTGGGCATCTTTCTGTCTGGGCTTAGTATCTATCATTACCTGAGCTGATGGTCCCAGGTGTGTTAAGGAGTTTGAGAAATTGCCTGTGCTTCAGCAGCTGCATAAATTGTCATCATCCTCTGTAGCCGGCAGGGGAGGTCTGATCCTGACAGCACCTGGGACAGGGATAAAAAGATCAAAACCAATCTCCAGAGTAGAGCTGATAGAAAAATAACCGTGAAAGGGCAACACACTGTGTTTGCTTTGTGCACATGGTATGTCACAGGTGCTGCTGAACGTGACTCAGCATGGTCCACAAGAGTTACACAAGTTGTGGCAATAGCCCTCATTGCTGCCCAGCTGTGCCAGCCCCCCCTGTTGTTCTGCATCCTTTTCAATCCAAAAGCTGCTGTGGACTGCCCTCGCCTTCAAGGATGCAGAAATTATCAGGTGTTTCAAAGGCACAAGAGTTAGGGGAGAAAAATGACTCATGGAACACGCGTCATTTTCCTTAGAGTCACCATGTTTTCCCCTTTTCAGTAATGCCCTTGGCAACACTGAAAATGGAAATGGATCAGCTTAGTCATTTTAAGATTTAACTTCTCTGAGATGAATGTGTGATACAGGTGATATACATGGAGGACAGAGCAAGGGGCAGTTGTGGTTTATTTAAATAATAATCACATTTGTCTCCATGCATTCAAAGTGATAAATGGCTCCAGTGTGGTGATGGCTCAGCATATTATGCAGAACCATTCATCACTTAGTTCTCTCCCAAGAAAATCAGATCAGTGTGGCTTACTCCATTTGAAAAGAGAATTAAACACATTCTAGGCTTTCCCTACACTTTCAACACTTCCCTATTTACCAGGGACTGTTACATAAGGGATGGAGCTTTTACAGTTCTATGTGGGAATAAGGTTTTTGGCCTCTGTGTACTTTTCAGGTAGTTTTTCTGTATCACTTGAGTGGCCTCAAAAAACTGATACAACATTATTCTGGCAATGTAGTTGCTGAGGGCTTCAGTCTTGACCATTCAAAAAGTCTATATATAGATAAAGATACTGATATTTTGCTCCTCGTCAGACAGATGAGGAGCATGAGTTATGGAAAAGCCTTTGGCAGCAGCAGCTCTTACTCAGGGCAAAGTCCTTGCATGACAAATGAGAATTAACCAGGCAGTGATGGATAGTGCTAAAACGATTACAGCCAAGCATACTTTCTCACTAGCAGGTAAGTAATTTTGGGTGTTTCTATATGTCAGAGCTAAACTAATATTAGCATTTGTAGTGAGAAGCAACTTGTTTTAGAAACGGGACCGTAGAGAGACAGGAAAAGGGTTTGGTGTCCCAGCACAGCTGTTGTCTTCCTGCATGTACACACACACACACACACACACACATACACACATCTATGCACTGATAGCACTATAAAACAAAGATGGTAGTGCTACCCTCTCTCACAGGAGCACTGTGAAGCTGTGGCCCAAAAACCTTCATCCTTAGAGGATCTGAACCTCAGCTGCTCAAGAAATGTAGTCTGCACAGCAGACTTGTATCATTACTTCTTCACTTTCCATTCAGATAATCCTTTGCAGATAATTCCCATAAACTCTAAAAGGTATTTTACTTTCTTCAGCAATTGAAGTCATTGGTTTATCATGATTCCACTTTAGTTGGCATCTGGCAGATACAAGCAGACCAGCTATGGGGAGCAGAATCTCTCTCATTAATAACAAAGATAAAAAGAGGGAAAACACTTGCTGGGAGCAGTCTGCTCATGCTCACATCAAAAATATAATCTTTCTCTGTTTTTTTTTTGTTTGTTTGTTTGTTTGGTTGGTTGGTTCTTTTTTTTTTTTTTCTAAAATTGGGTACATGCCCCAAGGTACCTCTATCTGTGTATGCAAAAAGGAGCTGGAATAGCTTATTTTACCAGGGGCAGACTTCCACTGAAACAGATACATAGGTGGGAGGATTCCAGGCTAGCTCATTTAGAGTTAATTAAGGTTTCTTGTCTTGTAGCAGCTTGTGCTAAGCCTGGGCATACATTTCTGTCCTGACCTTGGCTTATGACATGGCACCTGAGAACCAAATCCTACCAGATGAGAATTTGAAACAGTAACTGAAGTATAGGCTTGCTTTGCTCTCACTTTGTTCAGTTGTTTTCAGGACACTGTAGCCATATGAGATAAGAACAGTGAACTTGGAAGCCTTTTATTTAATGGTGAGGGAAAAAAATATTCATTTTCATAAATAGCTCCCACTATATTGCTTTGTCTATTGCTTCCTCTGGAGCAGTTGCATCCCAGCACCCACCAAATGCAATCAATTAGTCAATAAATATCAGCCTTTAAAATCTGCACACAGAAACTTGTGAAAGCACTGAGAAAACACAGAAACCCAATACCTGATGCTGTCCATGCATCCTAATTGTAGCAAAAAAATTGAAAATCAAGAACAGTGCAGAATGCCGTTGTTTTATATATGAGTTATCAAGAGTCATACATAGTGTATAAGAGTAACCAACAACATCAGGACTCCCAAAAATACTTTGGCTTGTTTGTATGGACATGTAGAAGTCATCTGAAGGGGCCACTGAGGAGATCTGCCCTGTGGCAGGGTGGTTCAGGGTAGGAGTGACGGAGGGGTTCAATAGGGTTTCCAGGGGAATGACCTGAACACTTGGACTTATTTAACCATTTAAGGAATCACCACCAGGTTATAGGCTATAATAAACAGGAAAAATAGAATTAGAAAAATTAGAAAAAAATATAGGTTAGATATAAAGAAGGTCATTCCAAAAGTGATCATGAGAGGAGACAGAAGAAAATGGATTCATTTTGGAAATTTAAAATTAGCCTGAAGGAAAGGCTAGAAAAGGCTTTAACAGGGTCAGTACTGAGAAGAATAGAAGATGGAGAGGGTAATTTATATGACATTTATGAGAATGAGTGAAACATAAAAGATTTGAGACATGTTATACTATCTACCTTCAGTTTCTCCTGTTTTGTGTCAGGTTGAGAGCACTGGCTGACTGATTGCAATATTGAAACTTTTCTTTTTTTATTCAGGAGAATCCCAATGAATTCTACATTGACCTGGGAAGTAAAATTTACCCCAATGCGACCAGGCTTACAGAAGCTGATTGCAAGCCTGAATTCTGATGCTTTGAGGCATGTGTATGGTGAGCTGAATATCCAGATTCGGAAACCATGAACCAAGGTGCTGCCTTCTTCTCTCATTTAGCTATATTTAAAAATATCATGGTAAGGGGTGGCTGATGGAAAGGTATAAATCTGCTTATTGTTATTTTGGTCATCCTTCTGCTGAAAAAAATTGATAAAGCAAACTAATTGGTATGACTGGAGAGAGAATTTAAAAAAGCACCTGGATGCTGAATGATTTAAAATTAGCTATATGTAATTAAAGGCAATTCTAGGTCATATTATTCCTGTAGCTCACTTGTATTTATGGTCTTTTGCATTAGTGCTGCAAGGGAATTTGGAAAGCTCCATTCACCAGAGTAATCTGAACTTTAGTTTTAATTAAGGCCTGGTATTTCACTGAAAAGGGAAGGAAAAAAAAAAGAATCCATGGTTATAAATTCCTAGACTGAATTACACAATGTTATGGTAGATTGTGTGGGCTGCAATAGAAACAGGTATTTCTAGCTAAAAGGGTCTGCTTTATCCTACAAATTGATAATGTTCTGGTTCATGAAGAGCTCACTTTGCTGGAAGCAGCTCTCAGGATGTTTTATCTCCAGAATATTCTCAGCCCCTTGTTTTGTCTTACAACTTCCCTGTGCTTTTTCTCCTATTCTCTCATGTGTGCAGGCACTCACACAGACTCACTTCTTACCCTCATCAGACCCCATATGCAGTTGGTGTACTGTTTCTCTACTTTGATGGGTGAAAAACTAGATTTTTTTCTACCTCTGCTCAGAGTTTATCACACAAAACCTGCTCTTTCTGATCACATCTCTTGTGTAAGATGTGTTCTCTCTTCACCCTTTTTTGCCTTTTTTTCTCTCCTGAACCCACCCTGTAGACCCATCTCCCATATGAGTGTGTCAGGAGTGTTCGCTGTCTCAGAGCAGTCCAGGCTGGCAAGTGGGGTGAAGGAAAGAGGAGTGGAGCAGGGAGCCTGAGGGTCTTCTCCTGCCAGTCCCACAAGCCTAGACAGTGTCCTGCACTGGAGCTGGGAGTGACTTCAAACTAAAAATGTGGGTATGAGTTTAGATTAAATCATGCCTGAAAGTTCCCAAAAATCATGGCTAAAGCATAATGAAGATGTAGTACCTGAGTAATCCTGGGAATATTGATGGACAGAAACTCCTGGGAAAGGAATAAAGGTGTATCCTGAGAGACAGATACTTACACAAGCCACAGCAACTCCTTCCCTCTGATCATGGTGTGTGTGTGTAAGAGCAGATCAGGTATTCACAGCACAGGGGAGTCTGTTGAGCTTCTGAAATTAAAAGGAACATCTTTCTCATTAAACCCTGGGGCTTTGCTGGATGGCCATGCCATTTGGTGGTCTTAATGAAAAGCAAGGGAGATGCCTTCCTTCCCTTCTGCTCCTCTTGTTGCTGCACATTGCCTGCAGTACCTCCTGCAAGTCCTGTAACCAGCTGTTAAAGTCTTGGGAGAGGAGAAATGCAGTTGCTCTTTTTACTGAAGTGTGGGAAACAAAGCAAAAATTCATACCACCTCATATAATCTGGAAGTACCTCAGGATCCAAGAAAACCAGATCTTATACAGCTTATGTGACCACATCAGAAGCTTGGTCATGTCAAAGTCTTGTGGGGTAAAGAGACTGAACAATGTGTTGTCAGTGGAAGGTGACAATCTCTGTTAGGTAATTAAGCAGTCTTACCAAGCTCTACATCTGCAAATAAAATTATCTATTTTGTGCTCTTGCATATAAACCTGCTTTCTATTCCAGGCATTTTATAAATACAGTGTAATAAGAATACAAAATAAAGTGTGTCTGATTGCACTTATGTGTTGTGTTCTGTATTTTGATCAATTACTTCTACATAGCAGCACTGTAGACACCAGTTGCTGTGTCTTCATTGTAAAAATTTAAAAATGTTCTTCTGAGCCATGTGTCTTTTTTGGTGCTAAGGAGAAAATCTTAGATTTATTTAAATGAAAAAAAATAATATTACAGGCTATTTTTAACTGTTTTCCTTTGGTTTTCCTTCTATTTCAACAACTGGCTACCTAATGAATTGGAGAAGGTGATGATTTCCAGAGAACATCAATAGTGCCAGGAAAAAGAATCCCTGGAATTTGTTTTAACTTGTCAGAGACCATTAAGGCACCAGTTTGCCCCTAATTAAATCTTACCTATGTCCCATTTTTAAGGAGTGCTTCTCTCAGCTAAATATTTCAAGTCATTTTACTAACACACATTAAGCTGAATGACCTCTGCCAGGAGACAGGAAGAGTTATTATTTATAGTTTATAGAGGAGTATATTGAAGCAAAATGATGGCTGGGAACGGAGACCAGGGATGTCAGCAGCCCTTGGCACCACCAGCCTGCTCACTGTGCACTGAGATGCTCACAAAAATCTACAGAAAAACTGAGGGTGGCCTCTAGGATTTCAGCCACTCACCAGCCCGTGAATGGGCTGTCACAGGAAACACGGGTGAAATCTGACTGGAGGAGCAGGGAGTGCTGTGATTACACTTTATGTACACATAGGGTGTGATCAATAAATGATGAGGACAGATTGGCAACCTCAGATCGGGAGAAGCTCTGAGTATAGAGCTTAAGAGTTCAAACTTCAGCTGAGTATCTTTTTTTGAGTGGGTTGAACTTGGGTCCTCCACACAACCATCACAGCTCAGAGATGCACTGGGGAAGAAACAGTCCAAAAACAGACAGAACTGAGACTTCCACAGCTCTCACAGTCCAGCAACTCAGAGATGCTAAATGTAAACAAAAGTCACTCCTGAAGCAAACCTCACTTGTTACCAAATTGTTACATCCAAGCTGTGGGGGAGATTGCTCCAATAGCCATCAATTTGTCACATTCTAGATCTTGCTATGATCAAAAGGAAACACATCTTACATGCAGGCCTGGGAAGAATATATTGTTAGTCTTGTTAAAGATAACTAGGATGGCATTATATTCTTGTATCTTTAATACAATGATACTAACATTTATAGCCCAAATTATACTAGGTAAAACTGGTACAGTAAACTTTATAGCATACTCCACTTTCTTTGCTTTTTAATGCACCTCTACACTGCCCCTATGATATCTCCAGTCTGGGTGGGGGCTTGTGTAACAGCAAGTCACCAGTGTCCCTGGTCCTCCACCAAGCAGAGTCTGATAGTAGTGGGGAGAGTTTTATCTTCTTCTTCACTGGGGTAAGCACAACAGAATTTTTTTCCATCACCCTATGATGCATCAGAGGCCATTTTTATAGACTTCTTGTTCTCTCAACAACTTAGGTTTTTTTTTTTTTTTTATTGATTCAGCTCCACAGATCCCAGTTTGCTACATGATGCATTTTACTTGTGTTGAGTACTCATTGGTCTCCTTTGTTACATCTAGAATTTTTCTTACCTACCTCCTAATGTTGCACCATTTGACAACCACTTATTACCTACTGGTGATCTGTTTGTAATCTGAGGCCTCCCATATCATCCTACACCTGCACTATCAAGGCCCCTGTTGCCATCCCATCCTAGTGGACCTTTATGCTGCATTTTATTTTGAGGTCATAAATAGTTTATTCTACCAGGAATAACTACCTGCACTTACTGTCTACTTGTTACAAAAGGACATACAACAAGAATTTCACCATGCAATTGGATAAAGCACAGCAAAAACTAAGAGAAAGCCAGTAGTAGACACCAGGGCATTAGATAATTGCTCTTACAGGTAAAAATCTTGACAAGCCCTGGTGCCTGTGCTGCTAGGTTATCACCAAACTGTGACCTTTCTCAAGCAATGGCAGCATCTGATTTGTGCACCAAAAGGAGAGAATGTGACTGAGCACTGACTTTTCCAGTACTGACTTTTCCAGTACTACCAGTGATAATTGGTTTGAACTGAAACTAATTAATATACACTGCCAAATCAGTGACACACCTGGCCCGCTGCCCCTTTCTGCTGCTGGACATTTTCCTTCCTGCTATGCCATTTTCTCAGCATATTGCTTTCATATTTGTCCTTGTTTTTCCCAAGGAGAAGGCTGTGGCTGCTGGTGCTAACTTTTGAATTTGAGTGATGGCACAACAGAGGAAGACAATGAAAGACAACCAAATGAGAGGAGGTGGGAAAACCAGAATTAATATCCGTATTGTGAAAGAGGAAAGTCTAAAGTATACTGTAAGTGTCGGTGGAAGGAGAGGAATTGTCTTGTATATTGGATAGCTGGATGAGTAAGGGAGAGATGAGTGTACCCTATGAGGAGATCCAAGCTGGGCTCAGCCTTTTCCCTAAGTCACCTGCAGCCCAACTCAAACTGGGTTCTGCCTGTCTGGTCAACGCAGGATTAGTCTGGGAATAAAAGGGACCCCTTGCAAACACTCACGCAGCTCCCGCTCGGAGCAGGCACAAGGCCCTGATGTATGCTGGAAGCACCACTCAAAGCCACAACAACACACAGGCAGGACATGACTGAAGGGGAGGAGGTCATTATGCAGCTGCCATCACCTGCAGCCATAATCCTGGCGTATTGGTTGTGTGACTGTTTCCTCAGAATCCACTAACTTATGGAAATGGTGTAGATCAAGCTTCCAAGCTGGAAGTTATAAATACATCAGCTTACCCAAAAATCTTCTGAACTGGATCCAACAATAGGCAGACTGCTGAGATATTTTTGCCTCCAGGTGTGAAACGGGACACCCACAAAGTGATAGGGGAGGAAGAATGAGCACTCTCACTGTCTACTAGGTAACTATTTTGTTCATTGCTGTGTGAGTTGTTAGTTATGAATAAGAGAACTGTGAGTTGGAAACATCATTAATTAAGTGATGAATCAGCGAATTACCATGTTAGACTGGTTTCTACAAAGTTTGGAATTAAGCGATGAATCAGTGAATTGCCATGGTTTCTCCAAAGTTTGAAGCATCTGTTTTCTTTCCTAGTGTGTTCATAGAATAGAGATTAATTTACATATTAATTTTAATACATTTTCCTGTCATTTCAAGGAATTTCAATCCAAATGCATCATGGCAACCCTAATGGAAGGAGTGGCAAACATCTGGTCTAGTGAAAACTGTAGTAGCAATGAGCGGTGTTGCAGATCCAAGTATTTTGCTTATGCAACAGGAATATCCTGGTTGGGCACAAATGCAATGTAGAATTTCTGTTTAGTAGCTTTGGTGGCTTTTTTGTGATATTTGAGAATTTCCTTAGATTTTGGCATCTACCAAGGCAATTCCAAGCGTGCTATCAACAGATATAATCTGACATCTCCTATTTACTTTGAACCTCATTGTCCCACTGGCCTCCTTTGACATCGTGTATCTCTGGTACTGGGGGAATCAGAGAGACCTTCTTCCCTCTCCAACATGAGACCTATGGTTTCATAGACTTCTGAAGTGCATTTCACCCACATCACATCTTCTTCAGGTTTAGGAGTCCTACCTCAGTCATTTCGTGCATGTAAACTCTTCCATGCTCACAACCAGTCTTGTTTCTCTCCTCTGAACTTCTCCCAGCATTATGTCACTTTAAGTACCATTTAAACACAGCAGTTTTAAGCTTCTGCCTTTTGAAAGGACACTGCTAATGAGTGAGTGGCCTACCTTTGCAGGGAGAATGTGTGTCTCTTGGGACCCAGATTCATTAAGTTAAACCTGGACTCAACTGTGGCTGAAACAGATTCAAAACCTGCCCTTGTTGCAAGATCTGTACCATAAAGGTTGAACACATTTTGTGCGTTTGCATGCATTGTTTCATTAAATACCTCTATTCTGTCATAGAAGTGTGACTGCCCTTGAAAAGACCACAAGTCATCTTTCTACAGCAGTGTATGAACAGTAAGTAGGTCATTAACATTTGAAAACCAACTGATCTCTTTCATCACTATGTAGATTCATAGGATTATGAGATGTGCTTAAATGTTATCTGCATGCTGCCCTTCTTCAAAGTAAATATGTCTTAGAATCTCTGTGGTTGTATGGTGCTCTTCAGGTTGTTTTGTCCGATTACAAAATTCTTTTGCTTGGAAATAACCTGCAGGATAATAGTGAAATGCTGCTGTGAACTTCAGACATCTGCATGGAAAGACTCAGAGACTAAGGGGCAAATCCAGTGAGCTATAACTCAATTTTAAAATTCTTCAGCTATACTTGCATTAGGAAGTTTTACAGGAACAGATCTTTAGAGTGGAGCCACTGGCACTGAGTTTCCAATAGCTACACTGTATTTTAGAGGATTTATATTAGACTTGCCATCTCTGGCCTGAATGGCTGTGAGCCTTAGAGAGCCTTTTGTTGCACTCTTCAATTCAATCACTCTTCACTCTTCAATAAACTCAGATAAAACTAAGCTGATAAAATGTGTGCTCTTAGATCACTGTGACATGAACTAAAGCACTGTAAACCATTTTTTCAAAAAGGTGTTACTGGTCAAAAGATGTGAGGGATGGTCAAGAGCTCAACATCTGTGACAGCTGCATGGCAAAGATCTGCCTGGGCAATGCGACCTGAGAGCATCGAAGCATTCACTCTTTCTCTGTGGAGCTGTACTGGTACAAAAGTTCTCACATCACTGCTGCTCACTCCAACAGGAGGTACAAAAGGTGCACCTTCAGAAGTAATGGTAGGAATTTTTGGTAGTCCAACTTTAAAGGAAAAAATTCTCTAGTCTCCCACAGATCTGGTCTTCTATCAGCAGGAATTGGTGGTGCTCTCTCCAGAGTGGCGCACTAACACTCTGTGATCCCTAGAAGTATCTTTATGCTGATCTAGCTGTGCCTGTGCTTGTACCAAGATGCATGCTTTGGGAACTGTTAACCAAATTTAACCA